TTCTGTCATCTTCCATAGCTTGCTGCTCCCTATGCTACCCACTTTCTCCCTTGTATATTCTTCACCTTGAATTTACTTATACTTCATTGACGGGCTAGTAATTAGTAATTAGTATTTAGTGGTGATCATAGTCAATATGGACTCGGTCACCACTAAAACACTATCCTGTGAGGTCTATATCAGATTGTTATAAAGTAAATGTTGTATCACCGATGCCTTTACTACATTCTCTATCACCCTATATACTGATGTAATGTTAATGGGTAAGTTTCAATATTCGCTGTAGACCCAGATTTAACTGAGTTGATGATACGTGTAGTCTTCCAATTATTAGGGTAACACTCTGCAGAGAGTGATATAGTAAATAGTCTAAGAAGAATAGTACACAGGTCATTGCTCCTATTTTTCAGCATGCTGGTTGGGATACCATCTGGTTCTTCAATGTAAGAGTGTTTCTCCTCAGAAATGTTTAGTAAGCTGAAGTCTAGACCGGCGACTTTACATGAAGACATTGAGGTCATCTATGATTCATTTATTGGGTTTTCGTTTGTTCAAAAAATGTTCTCTGAGAAGCTCTGTGGTACTTTTAGAGTCTTTATGCACTTGGTTGTTCTCAATAAATTCTCTCCCTCCTTTCACTTTATTGCATCGAAATTTATTTCAAAGGATTTTAATAATTTCAGTAGATTAATTATTCAGCCATACAGCACGTTGTTGCTGTGCAATTGCTGTTTTTGAACTTATCGCCTCTGCCTGGACACATTTCTGTCATCATAACTAATGAGGAGAAGTCATTAAGGTAATGAAGTCTGGTTGAATGTTTTCGAAGAAGTTTTCATATACGATCTGGCATATACTAGTCCTTAGAAATTCTTGCTCTCCAGCATCGTAAGGGTCCTAGTTTAATGACGATATTGCTGGTGTTGTGATAAAATGAATTTATTAGTTCGTCTGTATTGTTTGCAGTAAAGTAGTGGGTTCAGCCAATGCTTCTGAGGCAATTCCGAAAGTTTGCCCAATCAATCCTACGAAAGTTCCTACGAAGTGTAGTAGATTTACGTTTTATGATTGTGCGTTCTATATCAAGGCTGCATATGACCATATTATGATCGCTACCTGGGAACTTTTTCCCAACATATAAAGTAAAGGTAATGAGATTGCTGGCAAAAACTAAATCCAATATCTTTTGTTGTCTGTTTGGGCCGTCAACAGGTTGCATCCATTCTCCAAGCTCTCAGCATTCAATAAATGAATCGAATCGTTCAGGTGATTTGATTTAGAACCAAGAGATTTTAGGCATGCTGAAGTTACCAGAAGTAGCCTTGCCTATAAACGGTAGGGATGAAGTAAACGTGAATACTTCTAGATTTCCTGTTGGTGTGTTAGGTTGACGGTAGACACAGCCGAACAGTAAGGAAACGGCATTTGAGGGCTTTGGAACGATCCACACAGAATCTGGCAATCTGTTTAGCTCAGACATGTCACATAAGAGTGAGTTTAGGTTTGAGTGGGCATATATGAGATATCCTCCACTTCGTTCTCGTAACCTATCACTTTGGAATAGACAATAGTTTTCAAGAGATATAGTTACATCAGATATATTACTGGAGGTCCACGCCTGACTTATAATTGTAGGTGATGGTTGGCAAATAGTCGCAAGGTTGACACATTGAACAAATGTCCCACTAAGCCAAATTAGTTGAGATTATCTCGAGTAAAGGAGTTTCCAAAGCCTACATGGGTGTGGAATGAAGAGTTAGGAGGTTACTTAAACCTACAGGAGGTGTTGTTAGCCCGAGGCAAAGGATGAGAACATTGTCTATTGGAGACTGTGTTAGCGGAGTGCTATTATAATCTGCAAGTGGTATGAAATAACTTGAGCTTTATGTCGCACCAGAGGTACCACAATTCGCTGTATCCTAAAACAAATTTTGAGTAGGTTTGCAATGCAGTCCACCAGTGTTTTTGGCATAGTCTTGATGACATAACTAGTTAATATGGTTATGTTTATTTGGGGTGGTTTTAACTCGGAGAGGGTTTGCCACGTACAAGCGTGAGTTGTTATGACATTTTCTAAATTTTGGGGGTCATGTTTGCCACCTGGCTTGGTAGGGTAGGATGCATCAAGCTTTCGTTCCCAACGATTTCGAGAATAAAAGCCTGGGCATTAGGGATAGGTTGTGAAGTAAAAAATCTACTTCCGCATTCACTAATAACTCTACGGTTTGGTGGTTGCGCAGTGTACCTTGCTCTTGGATAATGATTGCATGCATGATGAAATTTTGGTCTGACATGTTCTTAAGCTGCAAGGATCATCATCACGAGAAACAGGCACGTCAGTCGGCACCAGCAATGCTGTCCTTCTCTAAAAATAATGTGCTTGACTGCCTTTAACTCTGACATGAATCGTTCGCCGTTAAGAATGTTTTAAGGGAGTTAAAAAATAGTCTGGTGTGTATGTTAAATACGGAAACAGAGATTTTTTCTTTCTCCATGAATATGGAGTGCCATCTAGAGTTGATGTCGACACTTGAAACTTTAACTGAAGAATATTTACCGCGATTGGATAACTACCTACTACCTGACCCGTATGCTGCAACGTTTACTCGATATACGGAATTCTAAGTTGTCCAGTTGGCCTCTTACATGGAACTAGTGAAGATAGTGTATTCTGACAAGGTATGCAAAATAGAACTTGGACCATAGCACTGCCAAAACGTACATTAAACTTCAAGGATATTAACACCACAAAAGGAGAGAGTATGGTGTATTTAACCATCAAATATGATGGCGGGTTGGTAAACTCAATCCACCCACTTCTATGGAGCAAGTACACTATGTTTGCTTGCGGCTCCTGATTTCGGTATTCATTCAGACAGATGAATTATTGTTACCATAACCGCCGTCCACACCATCAGTGACACAATTCGGGAAAGACAGTCAAGACTTCTACATCTTTGCTGAGATTTCGTCAGATACCAGGACGACTATAATTGACAGTTGGTACGTGCGTCTCTTCCAGAATCTAGCTCAAGAAGTGGTCCACAAATTTGGACTTCATTATTTATAAACAGGATTATGGTCATGATGAATGTCGATGTGTTTAAGCAAGGGCAAATTTTGTCCTAATTTTAATGAATATTTAGGCCTTGATTCCATGTCGAAATATTCAGCCGTCACCTGGTCAATATATGGATATCTCATTTGCGCCACGAGTGATGTAGGTCGGCAAAAGTCAGCTGACCTTTCCCAACTCGTGCTGAGATGTTGTCAGAGACTAATTTATGAGAACATTGAACACTATTATTCATGTTGACAAAAAATCCAAACTGCACTTAATCGGTCGGCAACTAAATTCCTTAAGTACTGTGTGTATTTTGTATCTGTAAATTGCGATGTCCTTCAGTAAGACTTGCAACAGCTTATCCCTACACTGAACTTTTATGCCGCACTAGCAGCGGTAGCATGACAGATAAACTCAGTTCATGTTGGTAATCCCAGAACGATTTATGCTGCTCTGGGTCATTTTTGGCGTCGCGATATGGGAGATAGCTGTTTAGAAATGGCATCTGTTAGTCCGTTCATGACTTCCAAGATTTGGTACTGGAGTTTGTGTAATTCATTAGATTGGGGCTTTATCAGATATGTCTCCGGATAATTGACTTATTGTCTTGGTGTAGTTTGTTTTACCTTTTTTCACGGAAGTTAGAACTTATGTGTCTGTACCTATACTATAAATCACATAAAACTATTAGCTGTCACTAGTTTCATCTTACTGTTATGTGAGTCAGCTTATGTGTATGTTATCGTTTAAATTGTTGGTGTGGTTTTAACATTTTATGAGTTTAAGAAAAGCAAGGAGATTAATTTTAGATCGCCTTCAATCAAATTAGAAGTTCCAAAAGCTTAAAGCTAAGATCTATCAATATCAGTTACTTCTTCAATTTAAAAATTGCATATTTTTCAAGCATTAGAATACAGTGGAATAAAGTGAAAGAACGTTCGTAATGTCCTGAGCTCGTTTAGAGACAAGAGAAGATAATTAATGAATGCACCTGCCCCATTACAACCGATGTTGAGCCATATCATTCGAGGTGCAATAACTGCACGTGGTGACAAAGGTATGCTAGAAAGGTTGATCGTTCAGACGAGACAGTTATTGAAATTCGGGTGAAGGATTCGATCATGAACAGATTGACTGCGTATGCTAGTACGGATATGAGGGCAAATGTCAGTTCATTGCTGTTCACTAAAAGGTTGTTTTCATTCCTTCTTTTCTGGTTCGAATTTTCTTGCGTAAGCTTCAATAAACTATTGGATGTTGTTTTAAGGACATTTAATACGTCTTGTGGAACGACGCTGTCATCAAATTAACACATTATTAAGAACCAATTTATCGATCTTGCACTACCTATTCTACCACAGTGTCAGTAGATTTCTAACAAGCGATGTTGTCAATAAAATGTTAAGACGTTTGTTACTTTTCATCTTCAAAATAAAGAAATAGTAATTTATTTATTCTGAATTACTGCATCTGCGACAAGTTTCTAGGATCGAGTTGTACTGGTATACCGTTTGTTGTTGTGTGATGGAAAGGTCCACTTGGAGTTCGCTAGACAAACTGACTCGAAATGAAAATGCTATGTGCCCCCAGTACACATTATATGCGGTTACGACAGCTACGTTCCGCATACTTACTGAAACTTGTGGAGGCCGTTTCCAACGTGTTCTCAACTTCATAGTTTTCGAAAGATTACCCGCTTTAGTAAACACGCTACTATGGCGACATATTTAGTATGGGGACTATATGCTGCGCTACTCCTGCTGGCCTCGATTAGAAAACGCATTACTGAAAATTTATACTTAAAATAAAGAAATCATTTCACTATTATCGTCCTTGAACAATCAGTAAAATATCGTTTTCAGAATATTCAGCGCAAATCTTGTATGTAACATGCAAGCAAAGTAGCTTGGAAATATACGAAGCATTTTGTGAAACTCAAATATAAAAGGTCCCGCCGTCACCTTGTCAGCTCAAGGTTGCGCCAGAGAATAGGTATCATTGACCATGAGGTGAATTTTATGTCGAAATTTGTTTCCTGAGTCATGTGTTTCACAGACAATCGAATTTATGCTAGAAACAGTGCTATTAGCATTTGGTTAATTGATTTGAAAATGGATTTGTGTAAATCTCACTGTGTCCAAAGACCTTTTCCACTATCCTCCATTCGTTTTCTCTTTAGGTCCTAGAAGTAAGAACATATTGGAATCTCTGTTTATTTTCAAGAATATTGGACCTACTGGAATATTCCTAAACTCAGCTTTATTCCAGTGCACTATTCTTGTTAAACACAATTGATCTATTCTCCCTCTCTCATGGGACTGAATGATAAAACGACTTATTGATTGTTTGATACAACGTAGTGCTCCAATTCAGCTATGATATCTTCTTGTTGTTCTTTATTGGTTGTTGTAAATGTTTTCACTACAGTATGATCCATAATCGTCAAGTTCAACTAATAACTTCAATAAGTGTCAATGAAGTCTTTTGATACTTAGGCTCCCGACAGTACCTGTTGTAATTGGGCCTGTCTATCTTGATGACTTGGCCAAGCTGTTATTCCTAGAGCACGCTCCTTTAAGACCTACCATGCCAAATTGTCTTGTTGGGTAACGTGTTACTGACTGGCTAGGATTTCTGAACTGTGAGCATTTGTCTTCAGATTCTTCATGCTTTTATTTGTAAACAATTTGTCCATACCATGTTTTAAACTCATAGATTCACCGGTTGAGAATATGACGTGTCAGTTTGATGATTCATTCAAATAATAGATTTGCCATTAGTAGTCAGCATACACAGAAATCGAGAATACCGTTTATTCTATCACTGATGCCCTTCACTCCCTTAATATGCAGTCATAAAATGCTCAGTGCAATGCTATGAATAAGTATTCTAACATACATATATATTTATTAACGTGCCTATTTTCATGTTCAAACCACTCACAATAAGATTGTAATTACAAGCTAGAAAGGCTAATGTGAATGTGAGCCGCTTTATATATCGTTATGACGCTGATCTTCTTGTAAATCTAGGTAAAAGTGATTTAGTTGTATGTCGTTCCCTATACTTGTCCGGCATGGTATGTGAATGTCGGAAATGTTCTACTGGTTCCTTTGGAGGATTATTCAGGTTTATTGTATTTTGGGACCATCGAGTATGCAATTCTAAGGTCAAGCACAAAAATACTGGGTAAGGATGGCAAATCTACTAATGACGTAACTCTTCATGAACTGCAGTGTTCGGGACACATATTTCATAAGCTCACCCATCAACCACCTTGTTGGGAAATGTAATCTGACGTAGAAGTATGTGGAAAGGAAGCTAGGAGGAGTCAATAAAAGACAAGCTATAAGTCTACGAAGGCACTAACTGTCGGACTGAGCCATATGGGTAGGTGCAGGATAACTGGTTGTAGTCCGCGTGATTATCCTAACCGGTAGTTACAGACTATTAAAAACATGGCTCAGAATCAATCGGAATGGCGTCGGCGCATTTGCTACTCATCTTTCCTAAGATTCTAGGTTTATAAATTGTATGTGACGGCCTTCATTTCACTAATTGGGATTTTCTTTTGGATGCTTAATCTCTTCCATTACCGCCAATACGTTACAATTTCCAATAATTTGAGATTTGTCTTCATAATATTCTGTAAGAGATAGACTATCCGTGGCTGATAGGCATGTATAAGTTCTTTCGTAGTATATATTTGTGTCGAGAATTTTTTCAAGGTAGATTAACTGACAGTGAGAATACTTAATACAAATTGCAAATTATCTCACTCCTAACATCAAACTTGCCTGCCTCGGTTTGGGCACTGGTAGTATCTTAGCATAAAAATTTAAGTACATTTCTATCCCATAGCTTGTGCTGAAATCAAAATAGTAGGCGAATAATATACTTATCAGGGGCGAAAATATTCTTAAAGTCTGTAGTTAAAAGTGCGAATCGATTTATCATTCTCTATACTATCCTTTCTTTCATTTTAGTGGTGACTGCTTGGTGTTTTGAAATAAAGTATATTTAAGTACGATCTAAGAATATCACCTGTACAAAAATATGGAGAATGATGAGTTTGTACTTACTGATAGTACAAAGAAGATTAAAGCTATAATCCTAATTGGTGGTCCATGTAAAGGTAATAATTAACATCGTGACAACTTTTTCCCGATACAGGAACTCGCTTTAGGCCACTTTCATTAGAACTACCCAAACCACTTTTCCCAATAGCTGGGTTTCCAGTTGTTTATCATCACATTGAAGCATTTTCTAAGGTAATCAGTGGAATTCTTGATTGCGATATAGTTACCAGGATTAAGGGAAATTATTCTTTTGGGATTTTATCAACCAAATGAAGCTCTCAATCAGCTTATTTCAAATGCCCAGCACGAATTCAAAGTTTCTGTTCGGTATGTTAAGTTGAATTGTTTCTTAGATTTCTGTTATATTTCACTCATGTTATTAATTATTGTCTACAAGAGATTTTGTACAGTATGCATCCAAATATTTTGCACTAAATAATACGATGAATCTAAGTATTTGAATGAATTATACTATTAAGAAGCAGTCAAACAGCCAAAACATCCAACTATAAACAACCATATTTTACGTTAGAATCTACCTTTCACCTACCTCAGCTTCAGCAACCGGATTGTCTCACTAGCTTAAAAAGAAAATATGGATTTTAAGTCGATGAACCGGTTATGTTATTGTATTTTCTTTTTTACCTAATATTACTCTTAGTTAATCAAATCCTGAAAATATTTTATTCGAGATGAGACGCTTCTATTGAAAAATGATGCAAGTTGACGAAACGTTATTCCCGGTATCCTGAAACCTCGTTCTAAATTACATGTTGGAGCTTTTGATGTCCGAACATAGTCAAATAGGGCAACAGGCTTCATTAGCTAGGACTTTAGAATCTCGCTCAATCGATGAATGCTACGTCTTGGAAATGCGCATAAAGGATCCTAGTAAAATCATTAATTTGATTTCACCTTATCAAAATGAAGAAGCAGCTCTATTTAGTCTTCGTGTAACTCGAAGCCTTGATGTTGCTTCGTGAGGCCTCGCTGATGTAGGTATAGCATTGAGTCGTAGGGCTGAACTATCTATCCTGGACTGGGTCCCAGTAGATAGTCACCTGTGGACTTTTAAGGAGACAGTAAAAATTCGAAAGATCGGTAAACTCACTGTTGCCTATTCGTTGTCTCCACCAACGCTCCCACTAACTGCAGTTCAGACGAAGTGAAAGATGAGTTTTACAGAAAGCTTTCGGACCTCCTCCAAAAAGCTAGGCGCTCTGATATAGTTATAATGGCTGTTGACTTTATTGCTCAAGTAGGTAGACTGAATGAGAAGGAAGGAAACCTGGGTGGATGTTATGGTGTCGCGGTTCAGAGAACAGACAATGGCGACCGTCTGTTGCGACTATGCTCAGATAACCGCCTATTCCTAGGAAACACTAACATTAGGCATAAGGAAAAACATCTTACGAACAGGTGACCTGCAAAGTCGTCACAACGTCGGACCAAACTAGATAACATTGCCATCAGCCACCGATGGAGGGGTTCGATAGAGGATACTGATCGTTCTGGGGCACGGGTTTAGACTAAGACTGAGCTCTAGTGCGAGTACGTATTGGCACGAGGCTTACTGGACGTAGGAAAGACACCGCAAGGAAACCTGTTATGGTTCTACTTAACTGGTCTTCACCTCGATCGAGTCCGTCAGATGTCGTCCGTGCACAAGTTTTCAGTTTAAGCCATCGTAGGAATCCCATATGATAGTGACTATCTGTTTAGGCGCGCCGCAGTGTCGAAGAAGACCTTCACAGTGTTTTCCTGTCCACGCTATCGAATTCTTTCTCGTAGTCAATGAAGTTGATGTAGAGTGTGAGTTTCACTCAATTGATCGTTCCACAATGATCTGTAATGTTGCGATTTGGTTGGTATATCATCGATCCTTACGAAATCCAGCCTGTTGATCTTGAAGTTGGACATCTACGATATCCTTCATTTGGTTTAGCAACACGCTGTCGGAAATTTTTCCTTGTATTGAGAGAAGAGTGATGCCTCTGTAGTCCTCACACTTTCTGAGATAACGTTTCTTTGGTATTTTGATGAGGCATCCTTTTTTCCAGTTTGTTGGTACCATTTCTTCTTCCCAAATCTTTTTGAAGAGAATGTGGAATATTTTTGTAGTTGGTGTCACGTCTGCTTTCATTGCCCCAGCTGGAATGTTATCTGGTCCCGCTGCTTTGCCTCTGTTGATGGCGCAACATCGATTGGGATGTCCGTAGATGCTGCGTCGATGTTGAATGGGTTCAGTAAAGCTGTCCGATTGAAGAGCTCCTTAAATTGCTCTACCCAATTGTTTTGCTGTTCTTCAATGTTGCTAATTACTTGCCCTTCTTCGCTTTTCACTGGTCATTCTTGTTTACGATAGTTTCCAGCGAGGTTCTTTGTTGCATCGTGCAATCGTCTCAAGTTTCCTTCTCTTGCAGCCTTTGCCACCGTCATTGCTAGATTCCCACATATTTGTCGTCTCTGATGCTCCTCTTTGCTTGCTTGTTTGCTTCTCTGTTTTCAGCTTGTGTATTGACTTTCTCTCCTGTTCGGCCGATGTCGATTGTTGCCTTCTTGTTCCTCCTTTCTTGAATATTTTCAAGACTACCAACAGAGGTCCATTCTTTTTGATGTTGTTCATTGTGACTCAGAACATCCTGACGTTCGAACTGCCAGTGCAGAGTTAAAATGGTTTGAATTATGTTTTTAGGTTAGCGTTTTTCAGCGAGTTAGTTTTCTACGGGATAGGGTCACCAAACCTGTGCTCGAACATCCCTTATCGGTTCTTCGGACCGGCAGTAGCCCCTAAGGGGCTTCAGGCGCATTATTTAGACAGGCAATATCTTTGGGTATATCAGTAATTTTTAATTCTAACAAAAATGCATGTTTGGAGCCAAAACGCCCGACCGAAGCTGCTACCTTGACGTGGTGGTCGGGCTTGCCTATCGTGATGACCCAACCGAGCTATACTGGCTGGAACACATGTTCCTGCAGGTCCTACCATGCCAGGCAGGTCGATTGGAGAATGATGAGACTAAAAGCAGCTACTCAAGGTCTGAGGGCGAAGTCGTACTGCTGACTGCAGAGGGGTGTGACAGCAGTAAGGTGTTTCCCTCGGACAACCAGCATTTGCAGCAATGCTGCCTTCTCACAAGGAAGGAACGGTTAGAAAAGTTCGGCCCTAAAAATGTCACACCTCCCCCAACTCACGGATTTCCGTCTCCCTGGGTAAGGGTGCCCACTAAGGGCCTTTAAGAACGGAGCTAATCCTCTAAATACCTTTCATAAAAAAACCGTGCGTGACCGGCCTCAAGCAGTTGTCCCTTGGGCTCTGCGGTCACGCACCAACACTAATCCATCTTCCATTTCAGGTCCCTCAAGAAACAACCTTCCACGGTGTGGGCAGTCGGGAAGTGACAGCCGCCCTCATACCCGTAACAGCACGCGAGACCAAATTGGTCAAAATCAAATCCTTCCTACACCCCCTAATGTCTCTCTTATCTCTACGACTAACTCTACTCACACTCCCTTTTCTCACTGCACCGCTAATGCAGACGAAGCGAGATCACGAAACGTCGTTCCTGGTCTCTTGAAACCCCGTCCTAGACTACATGTTGGAGCTTTTAATGTACGGACATTGTGTCAAATAGGGCAACAGGCATCATTAGCTAGGACTTTAGAAACTCGTGCCATCGATGTATGCTGCGTCTCGGAAACGCGCATACAGGATTTTAGTAAAGTCATTAACCTGATTCCACCTTGTCAAAACGAAGAAGCAGCTCGATTTACTTTTCGTGTATCCGGTAGCCCTGATGCTGCTTCCCGGGGTCTTGCTGGCGTAGGCATAGCGTTGAGTCGTAGGGCAGAATTATCTCTCCTAGACTGGATCCCAGTAGATAGTCGTTTGTGCGCTGTCCGACTAAACGGGACAGTGAGGACTCGAAAGGATAGGGACACTCGCCGTTGCCTCTTCTTCATATCTGCCTATGCCCCCACTGACTGCAGTGCAGACGAAGTGAAAGATGAGTTTTACAGAAAGCTTTCGGACCTCCTCCAAAAAGCTAGGCGCTCTGATATAGTTATAATGGCTGTTGACTTTATTGCTCAAGTAGGTAGACTGAATGAGAAGGAAGGAAACCTGGGTGGATGTTATGGTGTAGCGACTGAGAGAACAGACAATGGCGACCGTCTGTTGCGACTATGCTCAGATAACCGCCTATTCTTAGCGAACACCAACTTTAGGCATAAGGAAAAGCATCTGTTGACCTGGCGACCCCCGAAGTCGTATCAGCGTTGGACTCAACTAGATCACATCGCCATCAGCCACCGATGGAGGGGTTCGATAGAGGACTGTCGCTCGTTCTGGGGCACATGTTTGGATTCAGATCATGCTCTAGTGCGAGCTCGTATCTGTTTAAGGCTTACTGGACGTACGAAAGACGCCGTAAGAAAGCCTCTTAGGGTTTTACTTAATGATAATCAAACCAAGAAAATATTTCAGGAGCAACTAGAAAGAGAGTTAAGCAACCATGCAAGCGATTCCCATCCAGAAGCAGGTTGGTATGATATCAAAAAGGCTGTGGAAACAGCAGTGATATCTGCTAGTAAGGTTGACCATAAGGCTAGAATGAAGCCGTGGATCTCAGTAGCATCCACCGAACTGATGGATGCTCGAAAACGCATCCCACCTGACTCTGAACATGATGAAGAGCGTAGTCAGCTTAGGCGCAGACTTATAAAAAGTCTGCGTAACGACCGCGAACAGTGGTGGGTGGCGAAAGCAAAAGCGATGGAAAAGGCAGCGGCGATCGGCAACACTAGACAACTTTTCCGCCTTATTAAAGAAACTGGTATTAAGAACCCGAATGTGAGTGAGACTATCTCAGAAAAGGATGGGATTATTATCCATTCTCAATCCAGGAGACTGGATCGATGGGCAGAACACTTTAGGGATCAGTTCAACTGGCCACGAGCCACTCTTCGGTTACCCACGATCTCCAGTCATCCTGAATGGCAAATCGACGTAAGTCCCCCTAGTCTTAATGACGTTGAGAAAGCGTTAGGAAATCTGAAGCGAGGACGAGCTGCGGGTCCTGATAGACTGACCCCTGAGATATATAGGGAGGGTGGTCCAGTTTTATTAGCTAGGTTGACTGAGATCTTAGTTAGAATCTGGGAACTGGACGCAATCCCATCCGACTGGTCTCAATCCTTGATTGTCCCAATCTATAAGAAAGGACAAAAGTCTTCTTGTGACAATCACAGGGGAATAAGTCTAACTAACATAGTATCTAAAATACTGGCCTCAATAATACTTCGACGCTTAACGAAAGCTCGTGAAGATCAGACTCGAGAAAACCAATCTGGTTTTCGACCTGGACGTGGCTGTATAGACCACGTCTTCACACTCAGACAGGTCCTGGAACATAGACACACATTTAGGCGTCCTACAATAGTTGTTTTCCTGGACCTTAAGGCGGCATTCGACTCAGTGGATCGTGAGGTTCTGTGTCAGTGTCTGTCATTGAAAGGTGTACCAGAGAAGTACATTAACCTTATACAAGCTCTCTACTCAAACACCACTGGTCGAGTGAGAGCTGAAGGCGAACTGTCACCGGAATTCTCTAATGCAAGTGGTGTCCATCAGGGATGTCCACTTTCTCCATTCTTGTTTAATTTTATCATAGACATGCTCCTAGACATAACATTATCCTCGTCTGAATTTTCAGGAGTAGACCTTCTACCAGGTGGCTCGCTTATTGACTTAGAATATGCCGATGACATAGTTCTATTTGGTGAAGACGCTGACAAAATGCAGTCTTCTGACTGCCCTGAGAAATAATGCAAGCATGTTCGGGATGCGGTTCTCATCCTCGAAATGCAAAATGTTGCTTCAAGACTGGGTTGCATTGGCACCTGAACTAGTGATAGGGAGTGAAGTAGTCGTACGTGTAGACCGCTTCACTTATCTTGGGAGTCTCATCAGTGCTGATGGCCTGGTTACTGACGAAATCTCAGCTCGGATACAGAAGGCTCGATTGGCTTTTGCCAACCTGCATCACTTATGGCGTAGGCGAGATATCCGTTTGCTGACTAAAGGACGAGTGTACTGCGCAGTGGTTCGCTCCGTCTTACTTTATGGCTGTGAAACATGGCCAATGAGAGTAGAAGATACTCGTCGGTTATTGGTTTCCGATCATAGGTGTCTTCGAAGCATTGCTCGTATATCGTGGGACAGCCGAGTAAGCAATGCTGTCGTTAGGAAACGAATACTAGGTAAGAATGGCAGATCAATAGATGAAGTGGTGAAACTTCATCAGTTGAAGTGGTTGGGACATGTGTTACGTATGGCTAACCACCGACTGCCGCGACGAGCTATGTTTTGTGGCGTAGGAGTAGGCTGGAAGAAAGTTAGGGGCGGCCAGACCAAAACATGGGAGAAATCCATGAAGTCTCTGACAAGTGGACTGAGTCATGTTGGTAGATGTAGACTACCTGGTTGGGGTCCGCGAGACGAAAGTCATCAATGGTTAGAGACCTTGAACGACATGGCTCAAAATCGTTTGCAATGGCGACGGTGCATTTATTCTCGGTGTTCTCAGAAATGCTAATCTTCTGGATTCTTCAACACCTCTAGTTTCGACTCTCTAAACTTTTCTCACTGAATCATACTTCTTTAATAGTATCTTCTAATCCTAACCTCTTCGATTACTTCTACTATTGGATTAGAATTGACGATTACTTCTTTGTGCTGATGTGGTATGGCAACATGAACTGATGTACTTATGTACAAAGTTCTACGTTGCATCTGACTGACTGAGAGCCAAAACGAGTTGGTACATGTCTGTATTTAAACATGTCCCATTAGGATCATGAAGAGCTTACTTTTGAAAGAAATTTCTGATCTTCGATTGGCATTTCCGTTCAAATAATGTTAAGTTCATTTAAATCTAGTATCAGACTTCTGTTTCTTCTGCTTCATAGCTGCAACGACTCGTGCATCAACACAATATGTGAGATAGGACTAGCTTAGGACTGCTAGTAAGGCGGTCACTGCTAAAGGCTTCGGTGTCTTATGGTCTACTTGTAAGTGAATTCATCAGTGATAGGCGACAAAGGATAAAAGAGACATCTGTAAAAGGTGGAGTCTTTTGTGGTACAGTTTATACTGCTGTGATCTGCTCTATGTTTTATTTGGGGTGCTCTTAAGACCAGTGTGAGAAGTGACTTACCATGTATAACACAGGGTTTCAGTGGGTAACTTGCGTGACCCCATCGTTTGGTATACTCATTACCATCACTCTATGTTCAGCACCAAAACCATTTATCTAGGGTTTAAGGCACATTATAGTAGTTTTTCAGGGATGGAATACGTATAATTTTCGAGCGTATCTTTCAAAGTTGTCTCAAAATCACAGTGAAAACGATTCAACTGTTCCGCAGTCAGTACCTTGATACTTTTTTTCTCTATATGTGGGTTTATTTGCAGTTATAAAGCAAGCTCTTTATACTCTCCCTAAATTTCTGCTGGCTACTAGTTAATTAAACCAAATATTTATCTAAAACGATTAAAGACTCGTAACTTCTGGTTATAATTTATGATTATACAATGCTACCCACTTCAAATAAACATGAGGATATGGTTTCTAAGGAAGAACCCAAACAAACTGCAAATCTTTCCAAAGTAGTCTACTAATATTTAATGATTCTTATAGTACATTTACCGTCGTTACGTAACTTTAAATATCGAATCCTTAGAGTTCCTATACTTATATTTTATCCTCAAGTATTAATAAGCTTGATTCTCTAATAAATTATATATATATATAATTTCACGGAATATTGTGCATTTTAATGTAACAGATATTTACAAGAGTTCACATCGCTTGGAACAGCTGGAGGTATATATCAATTCCGTGATCAATTATTATCTGGATCTCCGGATTTGTTATTTGTGATGAACGGTGATGTTTGCTGTGATTTACCTCTTGAGGAAATGCTGGAATTTCACAAATGCTTGGGTACCGGAGATCGATTTCTGATTATGGCAACTGAAGTAAGTTGATTTAATTTAATTTATTTCCTTGAAAAGTTGGGTAATCAGTCAGTCAGTTACGACGTAGTACTTCCTACGGCGTACATAGGTTCAGGTTGCTATACCGCATTAGCACAGAGACGCTATTATCAATCCAAATCCCATAGCAGTAGAGACAGTAGAAGTATTAGCAGTAATGGAGAAGATCATTCAGTGAGATAACTTTCTAAAGGGAAAGAGATGATTAGGAATTCTGAAGATTTGGATTTGAGAGAACACAAAGAGTGGATGCACCTGCGCCATTGCAAACGATTCTGAGCCATGTCATTCAAGGTCTATAGCCATCGGTGACTTTCATCTATCGCGGACCCCAACCATCCCGATCATACTTGCATTTTTGCTTAGGGTAGTCAGGAGACTCTGCAGTTTGTCAGCGTCTTCACCCAATAGAACGATATCATCGGCATATTCTAAGTCAGAAGGCGATCCTCCTGGTAGAAGGTCTACCGCTAAAAAATCTGACGAGGATAATGCTAACTCCAAAAGCATGTCTATGACGAAGTTAAACGAGAATGGGGAAAGTGGACAGCCCTGATGGACACCACTTGCATTAGAGAATTCCGATTATAGTTCGCCATAGGCTCTCACTTGACCAGTGGTTTTCGAGTAGAGAGCTTGTATACAGTTAATGTACTTCTTTGATACACCTTTCAATGACAGACACTGCCACAGAACCTCACAATCAACAGAGTCGAATGCTGCTTTAAGGTCGAGAAATACCACTATTGTGGGGCGTCTGAACGTGTGTCTGTGTTGCAGGACCTGTCGTAGTGTGGAGATGTGGTTTATACAGCCACGTCCTGGTGGAAAACCAGCCTGGTTTTATCGAGTCTGCTCTCCACGAGCTCTAGTTAGGCGTTGGTGTATTATTGAGGTCAATATTTTAGAGACTACATGAGTTAGACTGAGTCCTCTGTGATTGTCACAAGAGGACTAGGATGACTTACATCGATTTGCCATTCAGGATGACTGGGGATCGTGGGCAACCGAAGTATGGCTGAAGGCGAGTGGGACTGGTTCCTGAAGTGTTCTGCCCATCGATCCAATCTCCTGGATTGAGAATGAATGATACATCCATCCTTTTCCGAGATAGTTTTGCTTACAGTCGGATTACAAATACCGGTTTCTTTGATAAGTCGGAACAATTGTCTACTGTTGCCTATCGCCGCTGCTTTTTCCACCGCTCCTGCTTTCGCTACCCACCACTGTTCGCAATCATTTCGTGTCTATCAGTTCAGTGCAGACTTATGGTTTACCTTATGAGCAGATATCACTGCTGTTTCTACAGCCTTTTTGATATCCAACCTATCTCCGGATGGGAATCACTTACACGTTCGCCTAACTGTTTCTCTAGTTGCTCCTGAAATATATTCTTTGCTATGCTACCATTAAGTGGAACCATAACAGGTTTCCTTGCGGTGTCTTTCCTACGTCCAGTAAGCCTCGTGCCAATACGTACTCGCACTAGAGCTCAGTCTTAGTCTAAACCCGTGCCCCAGAACGATCAGTATCCTCTATCGAACCCCTCCATCGGTGGCTGATGGCAATGTTATCTAGTTTGGTCCGACGTTGTGACGACTTTGCAGGTCACCTGTTCGTAAGATGTTTTTCCTTATGCCTAATGTTAGTGTTTCCTAGGAATAGGCGGTTATCTGAGCATAGTCGCAACAGACGGTCGCCATTGTCTGTTCTCTGAACCGCGACACCATAACATCCACCCAGGTTTCCTTCCTTCTCATTCAGTCTACCTACTTGAGCAATAAAGTCAACAGCCATTATAACTATATCAGAGCGCCTAGCTTTTTGGAGGAGGTCCGAAAGCTTTCTGTAAAACTCATCTTTCACTTCGTCTGAACTGCAGTTAGTGGGAGCGTAGGTGGAGACAACGAATAGGCAACAGCGAGTTTTCCTATCTTTCGAATTTTTACTGTCTCCTTAAAAGTCCACAAGGAACTGTCTACTGAGATCCAGTTCAGGATAGATAGTTCAGCCCTACGACTCAATGCTATACCTACTCCAGCGAGACCCTGGGTAGCAGCAGTAGGACTTCCAGAAACACGATGAGTTAATGTAGTTAGGTCTTTATTTTGACATGGTGAGGTCAAATGAATTTCGCTACTCGGTCCCTGTATGCGCGTTTCTGTGACGTAGCATCGATTGATTGTGCGAGATTCTAAAGTCCTAGCTAAGGAAACGTGTTACTTTATTTGACGCTAGTTTTCAACATTGGTTGCTCCAATATGTGGTTTAAAAAGGGGTTTCAGGAGACCAGAAATAATGTTTGTGATTTCAGATTGTTTTGCATTTGCAGTGTTTGGTAATTAGGGAATACAAGAAGCTTTAGTCTTGGAGATAAGAGAGGTGGTACGGTGTTGAAGAAAGATTTGATTGTGACCAATTTAGTCTCGTGTGCTGTAACGGGTATGAAGTATCGACAGTATTGAGGAATTCAATTACAAACTCCTAATTTCGTTAGATATATGTGTTGAATCTATGAGTGGACGTTTTATTTGTCATTTCAAAAGCGCTAGTATTTCTTACAGGTCCGAAATCTTCGTTAATAATCGTTCCTTTAGAGATATGATATCAGTTCTTAAAATATTGATTGTATCAGGTGAATGAACATCACAGTTTAATGTCATCAAAATATCTCACAAAAAGTATCTTAATGAGTCGAAAAGAAAGTGTCCATCATACATTATCAACTTATGTGTCAGTATCATTTTAAAAAATGCATGATGAATAAAAATCTTCATGAATTTAACAGTATAACAAAGCCAGTGACAATTCTATTTTCAGTCACTATTAGGCTATCCAAGATGGTTATTCGACCTCACGTTTAGGACTCTCAGCTGTCTATTCTTTGAGTTCATATGATTATATACCACAATCATCCAATCAGAACTCGCAAGTCACTCACTGGACGAGTTCACTAAAACTAAAATTCTCACAGCAACACAGCAAACATAATTTGAGTGGTCATATTGGTACATATCAAATCATGTGTCAAACATTGAGGACTGGTGAACAATGCGAATCTTTCTAGAAATCAAGCATCTACATGAATATAACTTACTTTTAGCGTCACTAATGTAGTATAATATTTATCATCATGCAAGGCCAAAGAGTACAACAGAAAATTATTGTTTGGCTTATTCTAAAAATGGTTGTGATTTATGATTTAGATTCACTTATATTCAGTTAATTAGAATTCCTGTAAAACGATTTTACACATCGACCATGTGAAAACGTTTATCGTTATACTATCTTCGTTCATTAAGCTTACCGTCTGTTGATATTGTCACTTAGTTACACTTCACTGAAGTAAATGACTACAGAAAATCAGTTATTTTCAGACTTGAAGTTGTCTTAGAATTCAAAAAAAAAGAAATTGATGAACTACCCAAATCTGACAAGTACAACTGTCTGGAATAATCTGAGATGATCATTTCCTATCAGTTCACTGAAATTTCAATGATTTATTATTCCTTTACATTTTAATAGATTATTTTCATAATTATCGTAAATCTTTTCAAAAAATATTCTTAATTTGTTATTTTTTAACTAGGCGACACGTCAACAATCTATGAAATTTGGTTGTATTGTTGAAGACCCTAACACTCATGAAGTAAGTAACTGTTATTCACTAAAATATTTTCAATTTTAAGCTTCCACTTTTATATCCTATTGAATCAGTTTTAATTTTTTTTTCTTCTGGTGAATATGCTTGTAAATAAATACATAAATTACTTCATTCCACATAGTTCATATTCTTTTTATACTTTGTTCTTTTGAAAATACTGATAAACAAGATGATTTACTGAATAATTTATATAATCGGTTAAACTCTATTACTTCCTATCTTTTTAAAGTGTTATTTTTATCCCTTATAATTTAATAAATAAACGGAAAATTTGTAAGCGCCATTCTTTCCTGTGATTGCATGTATTTTCGCTGATGAGTGTAGATGAATGTAAATAAAGTAGATTATTTGTAGTATCTTTTTGATTGGTTAGTTTTTAGAACTGAGTTTCTTGTAGATGTTAGTATTAAATTGTAATTTAATTCATTACAGTTTTTAGTAGTAAAATGAAACGAAATAATTGCTCGCCACTCATTTCGTTGCTAGAGGCCGCCAAACCAAAATCCATGGAGTTACTGACAACTGGACTGAGTCATGTAAGTAAGTGTAGAGTACCTAGTTGGGGTCCGCGAGATTATAGTAACCGATGGTTAGAGACCTTGAATGGCATGGCTCAAAATCGTTTACAATGGTGCAGGTGCATCCACTCTTTGTGTTTTGCCGAATTCTAATCTTCTGAATTCCTCATCACTGTCTTTCTATTCTCAAATTTATTTCACCAAATTATACTTCTTGAATAATATCTTCGAAACCTAATACTCTTTATAACCGCTTATACTGCTACTAACTCTACTACTATAGGATTTGAACTGACAGTTGCATCTCTGTGCTAATGTGGTATGGCAACTTGAACTGATGTATGTATGTACGGAGTTCGTGGTTGCGACTGACTGAATGACTGACTCATATCGTTAAATTTCACACTGCATTTAGGGCATATGGCATAAACTAATGGGTTGTGTTTGTATGTATCCCCTGTTTAATCTCGTGTAAATAAAATTATATTTTTTAAGATATAGATAATAATATCTCTCAGTGATGTCATATAATATAAAGAGATATGGTGCACAAATTTATTAATCATGCATTCATTTACATAAATATATCAATTAATTTATTTATTGCTTTAATCAATTATTAAATATTTGTTAAAGGTTATGCATTATGTTGAAAAGCCAGCAACTTTCGTCAGCACAACAATCAATTGTGGCCTTTACCTGTTTACTCCGGGAATATTTAAATTTATTCGTATAGCTTTTCTTGAACATCAAAATCAACTAAAGTACGTAATTTTTAATTAACTACCTGTTAATGATAAAAGAATGTTAAATAATTTGAGTGCGTTATTTAAAGTTCTTTTGTAGTATACATGTTACCAGTCTGTGTATGCAGATATTTATACTTTATGTATGGTATTCTTGAAATGTTAGAAATCAGTAGCTAAAGAATATAGTCAACCTAGATCAGAACCACTGAGATAGATAAACGCTTTAGCAGTCGTTAAATTTTGTATATTATCTTCTTACTCTTGTTTATTCATCTTCTACTTGTTGATTTTGATATCTTCCCACTCCTCTTGATATTTGCTAAAGACGATATAATTTACTCGATTATAGCTACTAACTTCATACAGTAGTCTCACCTGGCTATCGTATTGATGCATTCAGTCTATATTGAGTAAAGCCCTATTTTAAGGTCCAGGCATATCACTTCGATAACAGTTATAATATGGGTAACAAACTTGTACGTAAGACTGTTGACTACTCAATAATGACTAGTAAAGCATTTCTCTTATATCACTAGCGTATGACTGACCTCAAACAGATGTCACTTGGATTTTCGGTCATATCTTCAGTCCGACAAAGCTGTTAACACTAATACTGATTATTCTTCAGGTTCGTCAGAATAAATGTCTTTTTGCTGTGCGTGACATAACCCATAGTCATAACTGCTCAAATTGAAATAGATCTCATGCCCATTGCACAAGTGGTTGGCTATCTGTACTCAATGGCTAAGCGAATGATGCAACGGCCCTTGAAGGTAATGTACGGGGCTTGAGTTCTGTAGTGAACATCAATTCTGGGATCCTAAGTATATCCACTTCAGTCAGTCAGTCAGTTACAACCTAGAACTTCGTACGTAAATACATCAGTTCAGGTTGCCATACCACTTGATGAGTCCTAAATTGGGCGGAACGCGCACCTTGGATTTCATTGCTAGCCGCATTCCATATATTCTTCATAAGCTCACTTATGGTTCAACTCAAAGATGGAAATGTCAAAGATTTCCAAGAGACGAACAACTATTTACTATAAAGGGAATGTTTAACACTAGGTTGCGTTGCATAATCTGAAGCGATATCTTCGTCCAGCCTGAATCAAAACTTTGGGGAAGATCAGTGAATTCTGAAAGTCTCTACTAAATTATTAGATGTTTGGGAACTCATCCAGACGGATGAAAAACACAATCTGTAGTAAAGGTGAACTGAATATAAATGCACAGACTATCTACAAAATGATCCTGAGTAATGGTGAGCAATTCAAATGAAAGCCATGATAAAAACGGTTGTAGGTAGTAATAAATTTTGTTTACTTTGTGATCATTGAGCATTAAGCAACAATAATTATGAGTATGTAATATGTATGACAATAGCAAATTATTTCAAAATGTAGGACTTCCCAATTATTCACTTCATTATAAACAATTTAGGCTCATCCAAAGATTACCAAGTATAGATTTCTGTGTGATTGTTTAAAGGATAGACAAAGAAATAAGGAGAAGTTACTATTTTGATGACTTTTCTATTCATTTGAATTGCAAACCATTGGTTTCGTTTTTGAATTATACTTATGTGTAAAATTAGTGAACAGTAGTAGAACGAGACACTATTGATTTGCAGTGTTTACAGCTGAAATAAAATTTACACCATGCAATTTTCGATGTTGTTACTGTGTTATGGTTAGTTACAATATAGAATTTATTGTTGAATTGCTAGGTTATTTATGTTCAACAATCATTGCGAATATATTGTGAAAATGACTCATTAAAGTTGATTGTATGTTGACATCATTGATAATGACTGCACTATTACTGATGTTCTATGTATATAATTTGTTATTGATAGAGAAACTGTGCTTGTGATATATTCAAACTTTTTCCTGTCTCTCATCCAATTCTAGTTATGATTTAAGACCTTCATGCAAAGAAACTATTCATTTAGAAAGAGAAATATGTCAACCTTTGGCTGGAAGTGGGACTTTATTCGTTTATCACACTAATCGGTTCTGGAGTCAAATCAAATTTGCTGGGTAACAAATTTAGGAAGTTATCTGTTAAAGTTATCTATTTTTGCATAAAACATTGAAAACTAGTTTTTTAGATATTGTAATGTTTTATAATTGGTTATTTATTAAATTTATTGGGGTACAATGTTTTCCAATGACTCATGGTGAGTACTATTATCATGTCACCTTGTGCACATTATTAGTTAGATTTAGTTATTTTTAGCTTTGAATTTCTATCTTAATACACTTGATCGATATAAGTAAATCAGAATAGACAAACATGGTATGAGCGTCTACCTCAGTCAGTCAATCAGTTGTAACGTAGCACTTCGTACGTAAGTACATTTCAGGTTGCCGTACGACCACATTAGCACACAGATGCAATTGTCAATCCAAATCCCATGGCAGTAAAGTTAGTAGAAGTATTAGCGGTTATAAATAGTATTAGGTTTCGAAGATATTATTCAAGAAGTATAATCTGGCGAAATAAACTTAAAAGGGGAAAGATAAAGGTGATGAAGAATTCGGAGCATTAGAATTCGGCAGAACACAAAGAGTGGATGCACCTGCACCATTGCAAACGATTTTGAGCCAGGCTTTCTAGGTCTATAACCATCGGTTACTATCGCCTCTTGGACCCCAACCAGGTAGCCTACATCTACCAACATGACTCAGTACAGTTGTCAGTGACTCCGTGGATTTGTGCCATGTTTTGGTTTGGCCGCCCCTAATATCATTTCACTAGTTAGATGTTGATTAAACGTTGACTGAATTCAAATCAACCCTGAGTTAGTATAAGGTTATATAATTAACATTTTTCCTGCAGTTAAATAATTCCTCTTCATCGTTTCGACCGTAGATTTGAGTACATAATTATATATTCTATCAATGTTTCATCAACAAAATAAATCCATCAGTCTAGCTTAACAAAACGTTCTTCTCATTTAACAAAGATGAAAATGTCGTAATTCAGGTACAATTATTTCAACTGGTCATTTAGTTTTATAGTACAATTGAAATTTATGTACTGAGAGTCTGCGGTAGAAGATATTGGTCTTATGTATTTAGTTCTTCGGTTTAGTCGCATTAAATTGATTGATTGTTTCTTATTAGTCTGTAGTCTGTAAAGCACTTTATGAAGATTTATGTGTTTTTGATAGATGACTGTTTGCAAATTTAACAAATATTTGTGTAAACTTATATGTGGTTATTGTTTCCCAATAATTTTTTTCCGAATATTATCTGTCTTCAGTCGTACTGTCTGGTCTTTGCTTTTCAAAGTTCAACACAAACTTCATCATGTATCTTAATAAGTGCATAATTTATCTCACTTTATTTTTGTTCAGTGCCGTAATCTATGCTAATCGTCATATATTGTCACTATATGAGAGAACTCATCCTCATCGACTTGCTAAAATGACTATGTCAAGTTCATCGAACTTACAAATGCTAGATGATCCGATGAATTCATCATTAGTTATGATGAACGGAGATCACGAACCATCCGTTTGTGGGCCGATTATAATTGGTCACGTATTCATACATCCAACTGCTTCAATCGATCGAACCGCTGTTGTAAGTATACAGAAATCATTTCTTCTTATCATAAAGTCAGAATGATAATTTAAAAATAAATCCGACGTCATTCTCTTTTTTCTCGGATATAAAAGAATCTTTTCAACTTTAAATTACTAACAGTAATCTCAACAGCCTATATACATATAAAATAAAACAGCTGTTGCAAATCATTTCGTTGTTGAAGTTAACAAATTAATCCGATTAGTCATTGACAATATAAGAATTAGCACGAGTATACTTGGCAGTTCACAATGTCATGTCACGTATCGTTAGAAAGAAATTGACTAGTTTAAAATCAAAAGATAAGAATAAAGATATGTTTGAGTAAAAGCATAAACATTGGTAGTATTTTTCAAAAGGAACGAATACAAACAAAGGGTATATTGTACTTTAAGCTTATAATTTAGAGCAAGACATAATATAGGATGCACCTACGCCATCGTAATTGATTTCGAGTAACATCATTACAGCTCTAAACATTGTTTGAAAACATAATACAGATTCCAAGCAGAAGTTTACAAATTTCTATATGTCTTAGTCTAACATTTCATAGGCTGACTTCATGTTGCCGTTTGATTGTTTATAATTGTTTTCACCTTACTCGTATACCATCCATTATGAGTCATATAAGTAGATCAATCGCTCCAGTTTATGGTAGTTTAATGACGTATCTGTCGATTTACCATTTCTGCCCAAAAGACAGTATTTAACTTCACCAATGCTTTTTTGTTGGTTCAGTCTAACAGCTTGTGGGGATACATATGAGTAGTTGAATGCATGACCGGTTGTGTTTCCATAGAAATAATTTCAAAGTTGTTTTGTAACTTTAAGAGATTTTAAACTACTGGAGGTTCTAATGAAGGTAATCCCTATGGCATTCAGTGAAATTGTATTCGAACATTTTCACACTGATTTTTAACATTAGGTTAAACACTTGTAAATTTCAGTAAGCAAATAAAAAAAGACGTCAACTCTTTATAAGAGGCTGTAAACAGATTGATCTATGTTATAGTGATTGTATCTGATCCACGTAAATGTCTAAATGCTTATCTTCAGCTAATACTGTTTATTTTATTTATTTAAGAAGCACACAATTTCATACATAGATTTGATGCAATCACCGAGTGTATGCGTTTTTTTATCTGACTACTGTGGCGCTTACATCTCTCCCATTAACGTGAGGAAGCTTATGTATTTGCAAAGTTCCGTATCATATTCAAAGAACATTTCCAGTTCTTAGTTGTTTCTGCAAGAAATAAAGCCTATAAACTGTTTAAGAAAAAGAAAGTAGAAAATAATAATGTGTCACTTAAGTCTCAAAAATACTTATGTATGAAAATTCCATCAGATAAAATTAATTTTTAGGTTCTGTGTAAATTAGTGTATTTTCTTTTTTTCTAACTTTTAACGCATAAAACGTTTTACTGTGTGATTAATGATCTGAGTGTATTGGTTTTTATCTATCGGTTTTCAGATAGGACCTAACGTGAGTATAGGTGAGCGAGCTGTAATAGAAGCAGGTGTACGTCTACGAGAATGCATTGTACTCAGAGATGTTAAGATTCGTGCACATGCTTGTTGCCTGAATGCAGTAATCGGATGGAATACAGTTATCGGGGAATGGGCTCGTGTTGAAGGTACACCCAATGATCCAAATCCTAATAAGCAATTTACCAAACTTGAAGTTTTACCGGTTTTTAATGTTAAAGGTCAATTAAATCCATCCATTACTGTGATTGGTAAGTTTAATCTATTATTTATTATTATCACTGACGAATAAGTGGATAGTTATCATGTCATAATAAATGAGATAATAATTAACAAAAAGGTGTGAAAATAACTCATTTAGACAACTATCTATGTTTGCGAATTGAATATAAGTAGATTATACTAATTGTGTATATGATTAATCAATTTATACCAACTGGACTGTGTCTCGGAATTCACAGAAATCCTAAGTTATTTTCTCAAAGCACGTACATATGCAACTGCGAGGCGATCCGAAAATACTAAGATCCATCTCTGACATAGTGACCATCAACCTTGACAGCCTCAGTCGCACTGGTTTTGTTTATAAGGCTCCGTCGCAGTATATGTAGTCTGAGGATATCGTTGGCAGACATCTACAGTACTGAATCTCATCATCAGCCAATGCAATACATCGATCTTACCTCATTTACAAGCGTTTCATTTTCCAGCAGTACTTTCAATTTTGTCATGCATTTTTGAAGATTAATCCAAATATGCATTATCTCATCGTATAGATGATATTTTTATCCTGTTAACCGCTCAGGCAGTTGATTCGTATCGTCGTAGTTTAAAATAATAATATGTTAAATCTGTAATAAATTTTTCATGCCTTTTTAGTCCTGTTAATAAAGAACATTTACTGGTGGAATACTAACTGACGGTTATTGATTTATTACTTAATACAATAACTTATTGCACAGCTAGATATCAAAAAATGTGCGCGCTACACAATAAAGAAATAACATAGAGAGTAAATAAGTAAAGGAAAGTTAGAGATCATAGAAAATTGAGTGAACAATAAGAGTATAGTAAGGAAATACAACCAAGAATCTCCTTTTTCGGTTAGGTGAGGCAGGTTTGAATGAAGATTTGTATTCAGTGACAGCACTCATAAAGTTTATCATTCAGTCACCTGAAACTTTTGCGAGATATGCCGCTGAGTGAATTGGAAAACTACTTAACCTCTCTAACATGAAACAATGGTGATAACTTTGCATGATTATTACTCCTATTTGCATATTTTTTTATTGCCTATCTTATTTTCATAGATTACAGACTAGAGTTACGATTCATCTTGCATATATGTTAGTGGTTATCTACAACTTTTTTCTCTAATCTGCTTTTGTCACAGGTTCTAATGTAGAAATCCCTCCGGAAGTTATTGTTCTCAACTGCATAGTCCTACCGCATAAGGAATTATCACAAAGTGCTAGAAATCAAATTATTTTGTGATATACATATAACCACAGATATGTGTATGTCGACCGCTAGGCAATATTGTATACTTTCGGGCAACTGACAATTAATATGTGTTTGATCTGCTTGTTTATTCATTGATTTTTTTTCTATTAGGATGCTCAATTAATGTTTGTTAAATAAAATTTACTAAAGCTTGTATATTTTTGTTGTATTTTCTTTTCTCTGAAAAAAAACAACTATTTACTCTATGCCTACTTAAAAGTGACAAATATGATAAAATTTCTTTTCGGTTAATTCGTTATGATTTATTTACTATATGTTTTGCTTTTTTTTTGAAAACCAAACTATAATTTGATTAAAAAATTTATCTGTTTTGATTCTAAAGTTTTTGTGTAATTTGACTGATCCTGTTTTGTGTTAATTGGTATTGCACGATGGTAGTTTTACGTAGAAAGTAGCGTTTCTATACTTCTACATATTATTTTATGAATACCCTTATCTTATGAATATCTTTATCTTAATCAATATGGAAAATGTTATATCAATGTTATTGTTTTTTTTTTAAATTCTAATTATTGATTGTTTTTTCTAGTTCAGCCTTTTTGTTTCATTTGTCTGTCATGGTTCTAGTATGCTTTAAAAGTACTGAGGACTACCTTGTTCAATGCTCAAATAATGAATTATTCACTAACTTGATTAAATAAGACTTTCGTTAAATTCTTAGAATTTATGTATTTAAAAATCTATTTAATCTTTATCATAAAACTAAGTGGTGTGGGCAACTGCTTCCATGGTGTATGCAGCCGGGAAGTGACAACCACCCTCATACCCGTAAAAACACGCGAGACCGAATTGGTCAAAATCAAATCCTTCCTACAGCCCTTAATGATCTCTCTTGTCTCCACGTCTAACTCTACTCACATTCCTTTATCACCCAGCACCGCTGATGCAAACGATACAAGTTCTCGAAAAGTTATTCCTGGTCTCCTGAAACCTCGTTCTAGACTACATGTTGAAACATTTAATTTCCGAACATTGTGTCAAATATGGCAACAGGCTTCCTTAGCTAGGACTTTAGAATCTCGCTCAGCTGATGTATGCTGCGTCTCGGAAACGCGCATACAGGATCCTAGTAAAATCTTTATTCTGATTTCACCTTATCAAAATAAATAAGCAGCTCGATTTACTTTTCGTGTATCCGGTATCGCTGACGCTGCTTCTCGTGGTCTCGCTGATGTAGGTATAGCATTGAGTCGTAGGGCTGAACTATCTCTCCTAGACTGGATCCCAGTAGTTAGTCTCCTGTGCTCTGTCCGACTGAACGGGACAGTAAGGACTCGGAAAGATAGGGACACTCGCTGTTGCCTCTTCGTTATAACTGCCTGCGCTCCCACTGACTTCAGTTCAGACGAGGTTAAAGATGAGTTTTACAGAAAGCTTTCGGACCTCCTCCAAAAAGCTAGGCACTCTGATGTAGTAATAATGACTGGAGACTTTAATGCTCAAGTAGGCAGACTCAGTGAGCAGGAAAGACACCTTGGTGGATAAAACTGGTAGCTCAGGTGGACGATTGTGGTGGTGTTTCGTTCTCTGAGCTGGTTGTTTTAGTTGTGGAGCTTTCATTGTTCTTCTGAACAACATCATCAGCACAAACTTCAGATAGAAGTGAAGCATTGGAATTTCTCCACGTTTGACCTGTAGCTTGTTCTGCTAACCTCGATCTTGATTCGTTGCTGTTGACCTTTGACCTGTCGTTGTTTGCAACTTTGTTTTGATTGCATCCCCCTTTTGATCTGTTTCTTGATCCTGTGTCACCTATGATTTTCCTGATTGATTGATAAATTGGGTCAATTTGGATGTGTTTGTTGATTGCTGGTTGACCTGAGTGCCAAGGTTCTAAAAATTCTCTAGTGTTCTTTGTCCTCCCCCCACCCACTACTTCCACATTGTCCCAATCGAATGTATGTTCATAATTCTCATTGTGTATTGATATGAGCGAAGCGTTGTCGTGGCGTTTGACTTCTAATTGGTATTCACGTAAACGAAGCTGAAGAGGCCGTCCAGTTTGTCCTATGTAGTGTTTTTCACAGTCTGAGCAATTTATTTTGTAGATGATATTTGGTTTTCCTTCATTTGTCATTTTGCCCTTTGGTCTACATAGGATTGATTGAAGGGATTCTATTGGTTTGTGTGCCACACCTATTTTAAATGGTTTCAGTAGTCGTGCTGTATGCTTCGATATGTCTTTGATGTATGGCAGGATGATGCGTTTATTTGCTCCTGTGCTTGATTTCGCTTCTGATGATGGTTTCGGTTGATGTTTTTCTGATGAAGTTGCGTGGATAGCCGTTCTTTTGGAAGATAGTCATCAGGTGTTTTTCCTCGTATTTTAGTGCTTCGTATGTGATGCATTGTGTCTTCGCTCGCTTGAACAAAGTTTGTATGCACTTAATCTTGTGGGTTCTTGGGTTGTTGCTGTCGTAGTTGAGAATTACGTCGGTGTGGGTTGGCTTCCGAAATACTTGAGTTTCTAGTTTTCCTGTGTTAGTTCTGGTGATTAGTACATCCAGGAATGATAGGCTGTTGTTTGATTCCTTTTCCATCGTGAATTTGATGTCATCAAAGACGTTGATCCGATTGTAGATGTTCTCCAGCTCATTCCTTTTGATAATAACGAATGTGTCGTCTACATAGCGAACCCACATTTTTGGCTTGATCATTGGCAAAATCGACGCTTCCCATTGAGGTTCCTTTTATTTGTTCGTATACTCTGTTGTTGAATTAAAGATACGTTGTTAAACATAGGTCGATGAGTTCAAGCAAACTTTGACTCTGAAGCTTTGTATATTTGTGTCGTTGATGAGGAGTAGAGAAAGAGTTTCTTTAGCTAAGTTTGGCTCTATTGAGGTAAATAAGGCTGTTACGTCGAAGGATATCATCATTTCGTCGTTGTCAATTTGAATCCTCTTGAGTTTATCCAAGAATTGTGTGGCAGACTTAAGGGGGTAGTTGGATTCATCCACCAGATGTTTTAATATCCTTGAGACTTCTCTTGATAAGTTGTAGGTCGGGGTTCCGTGGAGGGATACAATAGGACGTAGTGGGATGTTAGGTTTGTGGAGTTTCGGCCTACCGTAGAATCGTGGAATCATTGGTCCATTGGATTTCATTCTCCATTGATCTTGTTTTGATAGATGTCCTGCTTTGACAAGCCTGTTTAGAGTCCTTGAGATTTGATTGTCCAACATTTTATAGGTTTTGTGTCAACTGGTTTATACACGCTTCTGTCCTGAAGTAGATCCTAGGCTTTCTTGATGTATTCCTCCTTGTCCATGATTACTGTCGTGCGTCCTTTGTCCGCTGGAACTATGACTATATCTTCCCTGGTTTTGAGTTTCTTTAGAGCTTTTCGTTGTTGTGCCGTTAGCTGGTTGTTGTCTCTCTTCCGTCGATTTAGTGGTACTATGGTTTGCATTATTTGTTGTTGAATTTCTTTACTTATTCTCAACAAGACCGTCTGTTGTAACTATGCTCAGATAACCGCCTATTCCTAGGAAACACTAACATTAGGCATAAGGAAAAACATCTTTCGACATGGCGACCCCCAAAGTCATCTCAACGTTGGACCCAACTAGATAACATCGCCAACAGCTACGGATGGAGGGGTTCGATAGAGGATTGTCGCTCGTTCTTGGTCACATGTTTAGATTCAGATCATGCCTAAGTGCGAGCGCCTATTTGTTTGAGGCTTACTGCACGTAGGAAAGACATCGTAAGGAAGCCTTTAGGGTTTTACTTAATGATAATAAAGCTAAGAATATATTTCAGGAGCAACTAGAGAAACAGTTAGGCGACCATGTAAGTGATTCCCATCCGGAGGAAGGTTGGAAAGATATAAAAAGGCTGTAGAAACAGCAGTGATATCTGCTAGTAAGGTAAACAATGAGTCTAGGAAGAAGCCATGGATCTCCGTAGCATCTACCGAACTGATGGATGCTCGGAAACTCATCCCGCCTGACTCTGAGTACGATGGGGAGCGGAGTCAGCTTAGACGTAGGCTGACATAAGCCTACGCAATGATCGAGAACAATGGCGGGTAGCGTAATGAAGAGAGATGGAAAAGGCGGCGGCGACAGGCAAGAGTAGGTAACTACTTAGACTAATCGAGTTAACAGGTATTAGGAACCCGAAAGTGAATGAAACCATCTCGGATTAGGATGGACTTATTAACTATTTTTAATCCAGGAGATTGGATCGATGGGCAGAACACTTTAGGTATCAGTTCAACTGACCTTCAGCAACACTGCGGTTACCCACGATCTCCAGCCATCCTGCATGGGAAACCGCAATAAGTCCTCTGAATTCTTATGAATTTGGGAAAACTATAGGAAACCTGAAGCGAGGACGAGCTGCAGGTCCTGATAGACTGACCCCTGAGATATTTAAGGATGGTGGTCCAGTTTTAGCAGCTAGGTTGACTGAGATATTACGTAGAATCTGGGAACTGGACGTAATCCCATCCGACTGGTCTCAATCACTGATTGTCCCAATCTATAAGAAAGGACTGAAGTCTTCTTGTGACAATCACAGGGGAATAAGTTTAACTAATATAGTATCTAAAATATTGGCCTCAATAATACTGCGACACTTGACGAAAGCTCGTGAAGAGCAGACTAGAGAAAACCAGGCTGGTTTTCGACCTGGATGCGGTTGTATAGACCACATCTTCACACTCAGACAGGTCCTGGAACAGACACACATTTAGGCGTCAGACAATAGTTGTTTTTCTAGACCTTAAGGCGGCATTTGACTTTGTGGGTCGTGAGGTTCTGTGGCAGTGTCTGTCATTGAAAGGTGTACCAAAGAAGTACATCAACTTTATACAAGCTCTCTACTCGAACACCATTGTTCGATTAAGGGATTGCTCATGTATCGTGGGACAACGGAGTAAACAATGCTGTTATTAGGAAACTGGTGCTAGGTAAGGATGGCAAGTCAATAGATGAAGTATTGAAACTTCATCAGTTTAGGCAGTTGGGACATATGTTGCGTATGCCTGACCACCGACTGCCTCGTCGAGCTGTATTTTGTGGTGTAAGAGTATGTTGGACAAAAGTTAGTGGCAGCCAAACCAAAACATTACAGAAATCCATGAAATTACTGAGTCATTTCGGTAGGTGTCGACTACCTGGTGTGGGCCTGCGAGATTGTAGTAATCGTTGGTCAGAGAGCTTGAATGACATGGCTCAAAACCGTTTGCAATGGCGCAGGTGCATCCACTCTGTGTTCTCTCAAATCCTAAACTTTTTAATTCGTCATCACTTCATCTCTAAGTCTATTTCACTAGGTTCTACTTCCTGAATAATATTTTCTAATCCTATTCTCTGATTACTGCTATCTTGGCTACCTCTACCACTATGGGATTTAAATTGAAAATCACATCTCAGTGCTAATGTGGTATGGCAACATGAACTGATGTACGTACGTACGTACAAAGTTCTACGTTGCTATTGATTGATTGAAGTGAAAATAATTAGCATAGATATAAAGTGTAAATTGAAAAATTTTCCATTTAAAAAGTATCAAACGTTTGTAACCTGCATGACGAAAGTCAGTTAAATCCTTCTCAGTTTATCAGATTCGTTGTGAGGTTTCATTGTATTTGAATTTCAGGAGAATAAACATCAAAATTGAAGTTAGCACTTATGAAACGTATACTGGTGTGGTTAACAGTAATAAAATCAAACAATATGTACGTAATTTGTTGTAAAGCAGCTATGTAGATTTATACAAAAACATACCAAAATTTTTGTTGGTTAAACAAATCAATGATCGGACTATAGGAAACTGATTCAGCTCCAACTCAATTAGTCATAATCCAGTTACAACTTCAATATTCAATCAATTTTAATTGTACTATTCAATTTTGAATTGAAAAAACTGATAGGATAGATAATAGAAACTTCATGCATTTAGTTCGCTTTATTATCTTGAAGAGAGCAAGAACGAAGAATTGAGCAGAATAACATGAATCCATTGTATTTAGTAGGATTCTCATCAGCTGCTTACAACCTGTAATATTTTCAGAATCAAAATTACTGTTAAGTGTACATACTTATAACAGTAAATGCATCATCGTGGTGAGATTGAAGACATACGAAGAGTGTTGTAAATAAATATAATATATGAGAGATTATCTATTTACCCATAATCTACCATAACATATTTATTTACAACACTGTATATCTTCAATCCCACCATATGTTAACTTGACAATGATTTTGATTCTGAAAATATTACAGGTTGTAAGCAGCTGATGAGAATCCTACTAAACAGAATTGATTCATGTTTTCTCCTCAATTCTTCATTCTTGCTATCTTCAATATAAGGGAACCCTAACTAAATTTATAAATGCGTACAAACTTCAAACTATCAATATTGCAGTTATGAATGAAACTGATAAGTCAAACAAGTTTATAACAATCGAAACAAAGTTATAAGATGGATCATGACTGGATTATGAACGAAAAAATGAGAAACTCCCACACTTGATTATCACCTAAGTTTCGAAAAAGAATAACTTTGAATTAGATGCTGTAAAGGTAAACATTAGAAAATTAGCTTTTATTGTCTTGTGGTAGAGTTATTCAAAAAGACATTGAGAGAATGAATTAGATTGAAGCAGGCAGATTCCTAACGCAAACAGCGGTGTCAGGTTACTTTCGATTAATTTTCGAACATCTTTCTGTTACTATGTAATCGGCATACCTCACAGGAACGAGCGCTCAGTACGGACATAAATCTAAAATAACTCACTTATCCATCTGTACTGAAGAGTATATAACTTCAGCCCAAAAATTTTACTTAAATTACTTTCATGATTATTTGGTTATGTATTACACAAGTTTTTATACGTTATTAGAAGATACAGGACGCAAAATTTATAAAATCTCTTTTGAGTTCATTGGTGTAGTTTTATTCAAATCGTAATGTTGAAAGCTTGGCGTTTATCAATTTAAAACGACAAAAATGCATACTGCTTACGTACTTATTACAAAGTAATAAGCAAATAATAATTAATTTGTAAAATTACCAGTAAAATTGTTTTTCAAATTTTTATTGTGTTCAAATGACTAAGAAATTATTCTAGCACTACAAAGTAATGCTAGACAGCAGTAGTAAAGGAAGAATAAATTAAATATTTATTATTAGTTTTTTAAATAACAATATATCAAACAAAAGTAATCATGACAAGAATAGAAACGAATATATATATATATATATATATATATATATATATATATATATATATTCGCAAGAAAATTATGACAAGTTAAAATTCTAACTGTATACAATGAGTATAAATAAGAATACAAATGAAATAAAATAGTTGAAATGATTATAATGAAATGAACACAGACTCATTCATCATAACATGGAATTAGATTATCAAAAGGAAAATGACATTATGATAAGAAAAAAAAACTAGTTTGTTTATTGAGATGATATCTTGAACAATGAACATATTGAAAGTTAAGGAGGTGAAAATTAATAGGATAAATGTACATATCATTATTACTATTATAAATGAAAGCACAAAGATTACATGGATAAAAACAAGTAGATAAATAATTGACTATTGATTATCAGGTGTGTGTTTTACATAAGAATTATGTACAGGTGACTGTAACAGTGTAGCATTCATTACTTCACAATCTAATTGTAGCATAGATAGAATGAACTCTGAGCTATCATCATTGTTATCTTTACCATCAACAGACGATCCTATGAAGGGAAAGAAAAGATGAGTTAATAGGTCTGACAATCAAAGAAGCTGTTAACAATACTAACTACTTTAATAATGGCCACGTTAAGATCACTTGTAATGATAAAAAATAATTAACAAAACTTCTTAGGGGCCCATGAATAAATGCATGATTTGTGCGAATTTGATTGAGATGCATCCAGTTTTGAATAAAATTATTTCAGATGAGTTTTCATGGTTCATAAAAATAAGAGAATTTCTTTTAGTGAACGGTTTTTATTTTAGTTAACTGAATTTATTTCTATATCTTTCTAACTATAAATGTTAGAATCACACATCTAAGGCGGATGGATTCATTAGAAACTCAGTCATTGAACTCTCTATGAACACTAGTCGTTCGATTAAAACAGAATTCAAGTTTGACGTGATCTATAAAGGAAGCAGAAATCTGTCAGAGAGTGAATTTCTATGTTCTTTGTTAGACCATTAGAGAAACCAGAACTGTACATACAAATGAAATCTATTCAACATCCACAACTCTCTTCTCCCTATCCTCTAGTGACCTTTTACTCCTAACTGACATTTTTATGACCTCCTTGATGATATAACATTACAAGTTCGATATTTTATCTTTTCGTGTTATCCAATAACCCCACTGAATTATTAAACGTCATCTAACTCTTAGTAAAGCAATTAAGATGATAACTAAAAACTTGCCAATAATATGTTTAACATGATTGTTAAAATTGATTATTTGAAATTGTGAAAGTTTACTCATTTTAACCTTATTTGAATGACAGTAAAGTAATAAAACTCCGGTAAAAATGTATTAGTTACTTCCAAAGTAAATTAACTCATAGGATTATTATAAGAATAAAATAAAACCTGTTGATTCCTTTGCACATATTTGTCGTTGAACAAAACACATTTTTTGACACACATTATTACTGTTTTAAATATAAATGGCAATTACTATGAAAAAGCCAAGTTAACAATAAAAGATGAGGTAACGCCTTAATTTCTATTTATATAAAACTTTATTGTTTAACACATTTTAATCACTAATCAATGTATGACGTATAATTTATGATGGACAAGTGAGAAGAAAAATCGGTTATAGACATGATTAATACATATACAAAAACATTTTGTGTTTCAATAACAAACACGTTATAATATAAAAGTGTTAGTGATTACAGAATGGAAATAAGTAGAAAGTTTGAGGCATAAAACAGCTAGAAAATGTTTTTTGGATGTGTCAGTATCATTTCAGAAAACGATCGTACGAGGTGATCGCTAAACTTTGTCATCCAACATGTAACGTTGAGTTGACTATCTCCCATGAGAAGGTTGGGCAGCCGCTTACCTATACTCAATGAACTATTTTATTTGGAATCAATTAGGTGTATTTTCAACTAGATAGGAGTGTGTGAAGCATGATTTGTAGTTTATAGAAAATAAAAATGCCCGTGAACAGTATTTCTTGAGAAAACTGAAAAGGAACTTCTATTGGTTTTCGTGACCGTGCTTGAGGTCGGTCACGCGCAGCCTTTTTTGAGAAGTGTTTGAAGTGTTAGCTCCGCCCTTCTTTAAAAGGCCTTACCTCCGAGTGACGGAAATCCGTGAGGTAAGAAATTTTTAAGGTTGACCTTTTCTTACCCCTCTGAGAAGGCAGTATCGCTGTAGATACTGGTTGTCCGAGGCAATCACCTTGCTGCTGTTACACGCCACTATAGTCAGAAGCACGACTTCACCCTCAGACCTTCAGTTGCTGCTTTTAGTCTCATCGTTCTCCAATCGGCCGACCTGCTACAGTAGACCTACAGGAACAAGTGTCCTGCTTGGTTAGGACATTACGATAGGCATTCCCAACCACCGCGTGCCTTTGTGTTAATTGTTTTAATTTTATTAGGGATTTAGTAAATTTCAGCTTAAGCCATTGTATATAACATGTCGATAAATCTTATCAAACTCTCTTAAGCAAATAATTATTCAACAGGATGCATGTGTTAACCAAAATTGAAACAACACAAAAATATAACAATAAATTTTCAATTGTTTTCTTAATTCTTAACATCGATAATATTAGTTAGCAGCAAATATTTTAGTATATGAAAAACAAAAGACATGCACATAAGTATCAGTATACATAACATGCAGTTAGAGTATTTATAATGCAGAAAAAGAACGGTTATTCTAGGGTCAATTATTGTTTTCTAATAAGTATGTTTTAAAAATGAGAGTGAAGTGAAACTTTATTGTTCTTGATAGAAACAATGAACCTATTGTTGTTTAAATGAAATCAATAAGATAGACAGCAAGTGAACAATTATATATATATATACTATTAAAACTTCTTTTTTTAATTAGATAGAGAAATATTTCATACTTAATTCAACTTCTCATTAGAGCTCTGTATAAGTATTTCATTATAGATAACAAAATTAACATCAACAAGAAAAATAGTGATGAATTTGGTCAGAATATGCAAAATTAGAAGTTTATAAAAAGAAAACAATAATGGAGATGAACAGTTAAGGAGGAAACGATACGAAAATAAAGATGTATGGATGTAAATGCTAATGAGTAAAAATAGCATTTAATGAATGAATTCATATAGATTGCTAGAAAAACTGACAGATTACCTAATAACGAATGAGAGAGTTGAATAAATTTAATCAATCAATTAAACATTAGTGGCAGTTACCTAAAAATCAAAAGAATAAATATTTTTGCAATAGACTTAGGCACAGTGATTTTGAAGTTGAGCGTTTGCACGCGATAGCGAAGGTCCTGGGTTTAGTTCCTGCGTGTTAAGTCGTGGATACATAATGATGAGAAGTCCCATACAAAGATGATATGGAGATCGAATCCTTAAAAGTTTGCTGCTAAAGGCTGTAGCACGGCCAAGAGTGAAAAGAGTCTGCTTTCTCTCTCGAAATTCTTGCATATAGCCATGTGTAGGTATTCGCTGTCTGAGGAGACCTACTGTCTTCCCAAGGCACGTGTTGTTTACGAGACTGAGAGGATGAAAAGAGAACGTCCAGCGCTCAATAATAATAATAATAAATCAAGATTTTTTTAATTGTAAGTGTATGAAGTAAAATACGGTAATTAACGAACGATTTTGATGTTTGATCAGTATGTAAACAATCCGATATGATTATATTAATGCGTTTGGTAAGCCAATGCGATGGGAAAGGGTTATCTATATATTTATTACACAGTGGTCTTCCTATTAACTTTGTTCTAAACAAGAATAAATTACAAAATTTATTACATTGTCAAGGTAATGTTAAAAATGACTCCTAATCATGAATATGCAGAACACTTCAGAGATCAATTCAACTGGCCTTCAGCCACACTTACGAATGCCCAACCACCGACTGCCTCGACGAGCAATGTTTAGTGGTATAGGAGGAGGCTAAAGAAATCTAGGGGCGACCAGACCAAAACATGGTACAAATCCATGAAGTTACTAACAAGTGGACTGAGTTATGTTGGTAGATGTAGGCTACCTGGTCCGGTCCGCAAGACGAAAGTCACCGACGGTAAGAAACGTTGATCAACATGGCTCAGAATCGTTTGCAATGGCGCAGGTGCATCCACTCTTTGTGTTCTATGAAATTCTAAGCTTCTCGATTCGTCAATACCTCGACTTTTGTCTTTCTTAAGTTATCTCACTGAAGCATACTTCTTGAATAATATCTTCAAATCCTAATCTTCTCCATTACAAGTAATACTTCTACTATCTCTACCACTATGTGATTTGAATTGACAATTGCAACTCTGTACTAATGTGCTATGGCAACCTGAACTTATGTACCTACGTGTGAAGTTCCACGTTGTAACTAGAATAAATAAATAAATAACCATTAACTACATAACAGTCGAGCATCAGGGAACAGATACTTATTTTATTTTAGTTTGATACTCACCAGCGGTTAGAAATTACATTAAGCAGAATAGATACTTTCAGATATATTCATAATTTATAACAAGCATGATCCAAAAAAACTGTGGGAGCATTAAAAAATGGATAATATCTTTTTCATATACCGGTTTATTATCTTAGAAGTCAAACAATAATATTATATTGATGACAGCACATAAAACCCTCTAAGTTTAAACTGATTAGCAAATAATATACAATATAGAATGATATACTGAAAATCGATTTAAATGGAATATGGAACATCAAAATGAACTAACCATTGATTACAGGATGTGCTGGAAGTAGAAATGTTATTTTCTGTTTCATACTTGCAGGTAAGGGATCAATTGAAGGCAGGAGGAAATGGTCCCGGTTGAAAAAAACTATGTACGCTGTATCATTGCGTCGTTTAACTACATTGAATAACTTTTCAAATACATGAACAGTAGGATGAATATAAGGCTTGAAATAATATAAATAAAAAGACAAAAATAAATTTAATTATTTGAAGCAAAAGTTACAGTAATAAAATGTTTCAATATGTACTGGATAAATTGGTAGAAAAGCGTTTAATAATTGCGCATAGTAGAAAATTTGATTGTGTATTTTAGATACTTCACAATATCAGATACTATTTGATCAGTTTAACATAAAAAAAAATGAGCTTATAATACCACAACTGTAGCTGATCTTTCATTTTGTTAATCAAATGGAAAATAAAATTACTTTGTAGTTCATAAGTTTAATAACTGAACGATTACACAATGTTTTTGCTGGCCATTGAAAAAAATAACGAACAAATATAACTCTACAGTGTGCTATATTGCGTAAGACAGTGTAAAAATGAAAGTAAATCACGAATGCGCTATATGTCATCATAAAACCGAATAAATAAGTTTGATGTAAATCACTCAGAAAATTCAGATTCATACTATGAAATATACAGTAACGTCGGATCAATCAGATAGAAACACTGTTCAATAATTTCTGATCACATGTTAGGTAATATCTTTTAGATAAATGAAAATCAACGATGTCGTGTGTATGAATCCTCTGAGACTTAAAGTAATGAATGAGTCTAGTGTGTGTTGCGTCATAATAGCTAATTGCTTATCATATTATGAACCAACACATCCAACATCCAAAAAAACATAAAGAAAAGTTATGTGAAACTAATTGGCAATCACACCAATAATTATAAAATTAGCTGTAACTTTTAGTCACGCATTTTAGATTAGTGGTGTGAATAAACAGCATTTAGTGATATTAGACAGTTGACCAATGTGGTTAAAATTTCAACACATGGAAAAAAGTCAATACCATTTTCTCGATATTTTTATTGCTGTTTGACAGTAACAAACATTTTTGACATCAATGAGAATCAGAGTGGAAAGTGGTAGTTGGAATTAATCGACAACAAACCCTGGAGCTAGTTTACATGCTATTCAGCATTCATAGCGAAATTGGATTCCGTGTCAGCCAGGGTCCAGGGTTTACGTCTTGACATAATGCCTGCAATCTAGAGTCACTCAGATTAGTGGCCACATTGTAGCTTGACCGATAAAATTCGTTCGGTACTAAGAAAAACCTGATACATACGACACTGATCACCACCCAGTGATCCACCAATTGTAAATATTACAGAATGTTATGACTAACAATTAAAAATAAAATATGTTTACTCATCACATACACAAACCATGTACACAGAACTATAAAAAAAAAAGGAGGAACCATAGAGATACCATTCAACATAAATAGAAGAATAGTAAAAATTAGAAATTCTGTCTAAAAATAAAATGCCACGCCTTTAAAAATATTAAAAGACGAATGATACATCGAATTTAATAAATAGAATAACAGAAATAGCAATAATTGTACGATGTACATAAAACCGATTTGTAATGTATTACCAGTAATCAATAATGCCTTGTAATTTACCGTTATTAAGGTCTGCATTTGGCTAATTACCCTCGGTATGTGCATCTTCAGATGATTAGGTCAATAATGTGATTATGCAATCAGAAGTTTGCATGAACATAGATTGCACTAGCAAAAACTTCAATTTCATTACAACAACCAACAACGTTTACAGAAAAAAAATGGCGACGTTTTGAAATAACGTTTTTTCAAACAGGAGTGGCTTTTTACAGAGTCTAATCTGGCTATAGAGAGTGATGTGGTGTAATGATTTGACTGATTCATCAGTTAAAGATTGTCTACAACAAGCCACAAATAAGCTTACGTAACTTTATGGTCTGTGAGCAACAATGGTGAACAACTGAAAATGTATTAAAGTTGAGTTTTATACGTTAACAATTTTTTTCAAACCTCAAAAGCCGTACAGACAGATATCTATGGTTATGGCATATGGTTGTGAAACATTATTATTATACAACAGCTGAAAATACAGTAGCAGGGTATTGTGCATATTTATTGTCTACGCATTTATATCAAATTAATACTGAAAAAAAAACGTTCATGAACAAATATATACAAAGATTTCTCTCGTCACTGGATACAGAGAAACACGTAAACCGTACAAATCGATCAGTTCTACAAATAGGCACGGTTCAATTATTTTACTTAATGAATTAAAAAGTTTACAATAGTATTTTATATGAGAAATTTCGATAAGCAGAAGACAAAGTTCATCCATATTATTATATTAATGGAACTAATTGTAATAATTATCAATAATATGAAGAAGAGAATACTTAAGAAAATATGTAGTTACATAAGTAGCTTTATTTATGCTCACGGATAATTGAAACAAATTAGAATAAGAACAATAAAGTAAGATGAACCATGAAATTAGTTTAAACAGTATAAAAATTGGTTTTTAGCTTTTAATTTACAAACTTAAATCATAAAGTAGCACAATGTAAGTTATAGTGAAAAAAAATAGTAACACTAAATGACTGTATGAATAAAGAAGAATTGTAAAGGAAATAACATCTCATCAGTCGAATGTGATTAATCAAAACGATTCAACAATTATATATATACAAATGAAGTACACGAAACAGAATGAATTTCTTCTAGGCTAAAGGTTGATACAGAACAATGTTACCAAATCGCTAGTAGACAATAGATATCTATAAATTCTTCATCATCAAAAGTATTTAATACTCTATCGAAAGTGAAAATGTGTATTTTCATTGAATAATCAAGGTACAAAAAATGTAGAAACAAAGCTGAAATTCCTAAACGTAGAACAAGATGAATTAACAGGAAAAAGACATAGAGTAAACAGAATTGACATTAATGTTGTATATATACAAATGTTGATGATGGGGATGACAATAAAATTAAGAGAGATTTCATAAGGTCGAGAAAAACACACACAGAAACTGTATCTTAGTGCATAATAATTTTAATTTCGGGGACACAGCTGTGACATCATAAAAAAAATACATTTAGAGTTAAGTGAAAAGCATTCAAATGGGTGATTTTTTTTGTTCAGTTTTATTTTCTGTCAATGAATATAAGGAAAATCTAATGACGTATTCAATGCTCTTGTAGATTGCATAACTTTTGGATACAAGTGGAAAACGAAAATGTTTCTGGCTAACAATAAGGATTTCGTGCATTTTATACAGACATCATATTTTGTTGCTTATAAGTTCTGACATGAATACTCGAAATCATGTGATTTATTATGAAATGTGACATAATATGAAGTTTTATCAAAAAACAGATCACAAAATTTAGGATCGATGTAAATGAAGTCTGGGCAACAGGAATGAACTCTTAGGCGACTAAGACAAAAGTTCAGAACCACAGGCAGATAGCTTAAGTAATTTTGAACTCATACGGATCAGTTATTGAACCGATAAAACTAGATCGATAAAGTTGATGCTCCATCCCTAATCGTTAATCAGAATCATGTGACAAGCACGAAACAGCACAACTTGGTAGCTTCTTTTGCTCTACTCTTCTTTATAGTCCAGAAGTCCAGATTCAGCCCCCAAAAAATTACATTACATTTCAAACAAACATAGTTTATGTACCAAACATACCAGATTACATCACTCCATAATATTCGAAAATACACTTATACACCAGCGAGACTATGAAGGATAAACTAGCAATCGATGGACAATATTTCACATAACGGTAGTTATATATATATATATATATATATATATATATATATATATATATATATATATACTATATATACTATATATATATATGTAAAGTCAGTACTGGAAGTTACCATTCGTCAAATCTTGCTCCTGAATACCGCTAGTTCATTGCGTTTCATAATCAGCAAAATTTAAATCAATTAAATTAACTGATTCACTAGGTAATTGAGTTGGCTCAGACTGAAGTACGTAAAGTGACATTCGAACCGTGCCTTCGATAGTTAAGATGTGTTTATTTCAAGCTTAGAAAATTATCTAACAATTACTATATAATTCGTTCCATAACTTTCCGTTAAGCAATGATAGATGGTATTTGGATAAAACTGTTTCATTGATAACTAAGTATCGAATATGTTTGTAAATGGGTTAACAAAAAGCATACATTCACACAAATCTCTAATGATTTCAGGATCCAATCACAGAAGACATATCAAAAAACACAGATTAAACAAACAGGATTATCAAACCGAAAACATTTAAATTGTTGATAAGCAAACATTAAACAAGACCATTAGAACAAGATCCAAAAGTAGTTAGATAAAAAAAAACATACAAAGTAAAACTAGTGACTAATGGAAAGGGTGCACTTTTATAGATAACGTACATTAGATTTTTCGATGTCATCCTAAATAATTTAAGATGATGTGGAAAATGATATTGATGCGTGAACGATTTCATGCGAAAATGAATCAAGCATTGTCATTGCAAGATTCAATATTAGAAAGGTGTCGTCTACTTTGAATATAGTTGGTGAACATAACCTGAAATACTGATTTTTAAGTCATAATAATTTTTTTTTTTAAAAAATTAGGTATCGGATAAACGGAAAGAAACATTGTTAATTCATCTTAGATTTAAATTGTCCTCATATTATAATTGCATTTAATCTACTCCTAAAAAGTATGCGCAATGTGTGAATTCATTGACAGCATTGATTTGAAACAATTGATTTATTTATCGTTTATTTAGCTTCTTTTGTATTCAATATGATATAGCCAGAAAACTCTAATCTATAACTGTTCACGATAATTTTAAAAGGATTAATTAGTTTTAAATTAGAAACAGCAAACCAGTAATCAGAAACGACAAACATATATGATATAATAACTTGCTTGATTCTAACATAACTGCCTGCTGATGACTAAAATCCAGCTTATCATATAAACGGATTATGTGATCAGAAAAATTTCATCTAAATAACCCGAACAACAATATGGATTATCCGTTTTTATGAAGCAAGTGATAAATTATCAGTTAACGCTTTGTAACACCTAAGGAGTCAATTTACAGTTAATGTATTATTATTATATTTACCAAATTGATGTTGATACTAAGTGACTAACGTCTAGAAATTTCCACCTAGCATTTTTCGAACTGGATGGCTTACGATTATAAATTAACAATACTTTACTGAAATATAACAGTGATCATTAATTATTGTAATAGAACATTTATAATTGTGCATGACAACTAAAAGGAATAATCACACAAAATAGAAATATAAAATGTAGTACCTGCAAATCATAATTATTTTTCAACATTGAATTACGATGAGGTGGAGGAGATTTAGGTGATAGTGATTTGTCTGTAGCATTCAGAGTAGGATGGTTAACTTTACTAGAAAAGAAGCGTTCTAACGACTCTTTTCTTGCAGATGAAATTGATTTTGGAGATGAAGTATTCAAATGTTGAATAGGTAAGGAAGTGGGTTTTTGAGTACGTCGTAAATTTTGTCGTGAGGGTTTCGATATACTGACTACATGTTGTTCAAACGTTTTTACATTATGAAGGGATGAACTGAGTTGTAACCTGTATACACTGGACTGATTACTGGTTGATACAGCATGCCTTTCAATCCAACTCTAAATAGGCAGATGAACAATTATATATACAGATCTAAAGTGATATTAAAACAACTATAAGTTAGACGTCAATAGTTTTATGAAATTCGGGCATTTCATGAAAATAAAGGTGAAAGAATCCGTAAGAAATGCACAATGAAGGTGAATAGATGAATTATTAATGATCAGAATTATCAATAATAATTGCGTTAGCTAACTATACGCAAAGTAGAACCTGGCATATTTGTATATCGGTTCAAGTTGACATACCTCCATATAAACAACAAGATGAAGTTGTCATGGGGAACCTCACAATACAATATAAAATGATATCTCACACCACAAGTGAAAAAGCCAACTATACTTCCTGAATTTATATCGAGATTTTGTCAGACGCCAATCCAACAGGAGTGATAAAGCTAGGTGTAATGATCAAAAGTAAGAATAATATGCCATTTATAACACATTGACGACCAAAGTAACGAGTGGTTATAGACATATTTTTCAAATGCAACGATTAGGTTGGAGGTAGACAGAAGCAGTGTAGTGAACGAGAACACAGGTGGGGCAACCGGATTGCATTTAACGAAAATCACAGAGTTACTCAGTAAAATCGGAAAACCATATCGTAAATCGTTCATTTGCAAAATATCAGTTCATCATATCGAACTGGACTGTTCCTGTTGCAAAACATCAATCCATTGTCACTATTCATGCGTTTCATACAAATTCCAGTGTGTTCCCACTCTTCCTTTCTTGATATTTTCCCCATCTTCTACTGCCAGACATTAAGTTGACACTCACGTCATACACTACTTATAAGTAGCGCGCACCACAGCAGTTTTAAGTATATACAATAGAAGCGTCTTCACTTTGCTCAATAGCAAAAGACTGCACGGACAAGTAATGATACGACCGCAGAATAATCAATATTTTAAATTCCTTTTCGTCACATCTTGTCAATTTCCTGTTTTTAAGTTTCGACATAAGATGTAGTCAACTAAATCGGCAAGATATGTTCTAACCAATGTGTAACTAATTGATAAGAAAAAAATAATCATCATTTACGACACCTGATCACCAATGAGAATATACGAGTAGGTTAGATAGACTACGGTATCGGTTCATGTATCGAGATGTAGGTAATTTTAGTTGGGATCTGCGAGGTAATTGCAATCTACCAGTAGATATTAAAAAATGTCCCAACTTTAATTCAAGCAAGTAATCAGATATACATGCTTCTACCTTCATCTAAAATTTAAATCCACAATTATGTAAAATGCTGCATCTTTAAAGATTCATGATTCAATTGAATTTTTAATGTAATTATAGATATTACTGTTTTCAAGCCTTTCATTCTCTCTGCCTGTTAGTCACAACTATTGTTTATGAAAGTTTTTTCTGTAACTTGTTTCATAAAACAGTGTAATTGGCAAATAATATAGTTATTACCGAAGATTGGAAAAGTTAAATTAAACTAACTGCTGTGGAACAAATACATTTAAGTTTTATATAGTGCAGTTTACCGAAATCAGATTTTTTAGTTGTCTAATTTTACTATTTTCAGTGTATTGTTCGCATGTAAGAAAGTGTGAATTGAACCAATCATATTTTTTTTAAAGTTTGTAATAAACGAAGCGAACGAACAATAAGCCAGAAAGACAACTAACTTGGAAAATTTGTCGAGCATTGGCAAGTAGGGAATTCTCTGAGCAACTCATGTTTTTATTCGGACCACAGTTGTTGGCTGAACGGTTGATTGAAAACTTTTCAGAAAATAAAAATTCATTATGAGAAGCGTTTCGTAATAATTCGTCATTTTTTAGAATATCTTCTTCTTGTGTAGATGGGATATTTAATAAAAGACGTCGTCCAGTTGGTGAATATGGCGCAGATTGCCAAAAACTGGAATAACCAAAAGCTAAAAATTTTAAAAATCGAAAAGCTAATAAACTAAACGTGAAAACGCGAAGAAATACGACTAACGAAACTTACTGATAAGTAGTTTACGATAAGAAAAATAAATGCACCTAGTACAAACGTAATAAATTGTAATGATACAAGCACTAACTGTTAATATTAAAAATAATTTTGCCGAAAATTTTAAGCCATTTACATTAATTACAAACCTTCCCAGAAACCTTGAATATTATAGAGTATGGAAAATACTATTCAGGAGGCAAATAATGATGGAAAGGAATCTAAGACAATTAGGCGGAAAGAACCCTTACTTAAATTATTTCATTTACCGAAATGTAGGATGATCAGTCCTATTGGTTGAAGTTGAGAGTATTCGGAATAAGTTATCCGGAAGACAAATAGCTCATGCCAGAGATTCAACTAAATCGTTGATACAAATTGTCAGTTGCTAATACGATTCCCTATACGTGATGATATGGCGCAGTGGGATCACACTTAATTTCATTATTTTTATACTGGTTTGCGAAGTTTGAAGTCAGTTTGATTGATTATTCGGCTGCCTTTAACCAGATTTCTTGAAATAAAGTTGTTTTAAAGTGAGAATCACTTTTGAACACAAGCGCTTGTTGGAACAAATAACACCGAAAAATAAGAACTATGACTGGACCCCGAATGATATATGCCTGTATATATATATATATATATATATATATATATATATATATATATATATAACTTTCGGCACAAACGATTGCAAATTTGCAATGATAAAATTTTACGATTAAAAATATCTTAAATACACAACACCTTATCGAAGGTTTATTCAGGAGAACTAAATATGACAATGGGCGATTAAGCATGAAATATTCAAAAAACACTTTCTAACTAAAGCAACAACTATACAATAAACCTTATTTTTACAAAACGAATATAGTTCACTGCCGGAATTGTGCTCGGATAAAGCATAAGACCTCTGCCTACATTTATACTTTCCCACGTTTAACCTCAAAATGTCCGTTAAAGACTATAAAACCAAGCCAATCATAGTGTTGGCTGGGAACAAAACCATTGACCAGAGTGAATTTTAAGTAATTTGGAAGGGTGAAATTTTTATTCTTGACGCTACTGTGACAGATAGTGTATTGAGTTCACCATCGTCGATGAAAATTAAACGAATCAGTTTAAATGAAGGATGGATCAGAAAATTGACTAATCCAAAGATTCAATTCTGAATTGCTCTCAAAGGCAACATATTGGATCTCTATAACTATGAAGGTTTTAAAATCACGTTAAGTTTCTTTTTTGCATTCTAGAAGTCACAAATAAAATCGACTTGTTTACTTTCGGGATTATTTGTACTATATATTTTATGTTTTGTACTTGATGTAACGCCAAACCACTGTACTAATGACACACCGAACGTTAGACCCCTCCGTTTGAAAATAAGAAGACGGAAGACGTTGGAGAACGCTTATTATCAGAATCAAAAATGTACAATCAAACATGCGTATTTATGCAATTATATAAATGTCGTTAAATATTTTGAACATGAATCAAATAGTTCATCAATCCACAACGTGCGTGGCTTTCTTCTCGATTGACTATCCGAACAATATATTATCTTATCTTATGTTTCCTAAACAGTTTTTACTTAACAGTTTAAACCCCGAACCATTATACAACTATTTCTATTGAGATTCTTCCATACTCAGTTGGTGAAGTAACACCTTTCTGTCTTATAATCTGCTACTATTTGTGTAGAATATTTGCTAATGACTGTACCGATTTGGTTAACAACACAATGGAAAAGAAAATTTCCTTCGCTGAATCGTCATTATACACATACAGCATTCGAACGGGCGATCGAAAAAATAGTAAAGTGGGGTCACAAATTTGATTTACATAAAGAACATTAGTTCTGTCGTCGACAAATATATCAGTCAGAGTCAGATGCAACGTAGAACTTCGTACGCAGTTATCCGTCTGACTTTTCGGTCACGCTCCCAGGTCTCTAAGACAAACACTAATCTATCTTCCTTTTCAGGTCCCTCAAGTAACAACCTTCTACGGTGTGGGCAGACGGGAAGTGACAACCGCCCTCATACCCGTTAACAAATATATAGATATATACATATCTTATGATTAATAAAAATGACCTACACGATGAGTTACACGTACGCAAATAATATATAAAAATACAGAAGTAAATTTGCGAAGATCTTGGTAGTTTATTTTTAAAAGAAAGAGAAATTACCAAGTTTTCCAGAAGTGTGGGAACTACCATCATAGGACATGTGACGTGAAGATACGGGTCCCAATCCAGAAGATAAATCTGAAAAAGGAACTATATTCATAGCTAACAGACCGCACATAACCAATAAACTTGTGGTAGCGATTACTTTAGATCGATGGCTGACGGTAGGAATCGTTCGCTGAGCAGTAGTCAAGGTTTTCGAAATTGGTTTAGGAAGTTGAGACTGGTTTGGCGTAGATTGGGAATGTGATTCGACATCAACTTTACTCGTAAGTAACAATCTTTTTGAGGAACTATCCCATTTAAACGTCTTTGGAGAATTCATACTAGTAATGTAAGCTACAGTAAAAATTAACGAAATAAACATGTAACTGTCAACACAATACAAAACTTGAATATTATACATATCTATAAGTGTCATAAATTGTACATAAATGCAGCATTATTATTTCCATACGTTTGCAATACACTATGTTACAATTGGATAGTGAATAAAAATTACTCCTACTTCAATAACAACCTTAAATTTTGATTTCGCCAAAATCACACAAATATTCTACTTTCCCGAACTGAGTTAGAAAGCACGTCTTATTTTGATAAAAATGTCAAAAGGTAGGAAATTGTGATTGTTATGTGACTGATGTGATTCAATCTGAGCCAATTGGAAGGAGACTATTTGAATATTATAGCGGTTTTTTATAAATAAAGGTCTTAAAGCTACATGACAAACAAAATCAGATCACTAAAAGTCTATAAATGGCAAATATTCAAGGAAACTTGATTCTACCAATAGTAAGACTTACTTGTTTTTGGAGTGGTATTTACATTTTTGAAGTTTTTTAAATGCTGAATTGAAACTGTGTTGCTTTTTCCAAGATCAGATAACTTCGGAAGACGACTAGGTGTGGTAGTTGATTTGGAACCAACTGTGACTTCATTCAGTGGTGTCAATGTGCGCACAGAAACTGTTTTACTACAAGACTCGTGTGGGGTAATTTGTTTATTGAGTTGTAAAGGAAGAGTTGACAACTTGCTTGAACTTGCCTCAAACGACTGGGATTTAACAATTAGGTTTTCTGAATTTATGGAGTTTGGGAGCTGCAATTGCAAATCCTCAATACAACGTTCCAGACGAAAGCACCGTGTTCGCCACTCTTCGTTTTGGCGCCACAGTGAGAGGTTTTCACGCTTTAACTGCTCGAACTTCATTTCTAACCTTTCTAAGTACTAAAAACGGAAGGTGGATAGGCACTTATGACTAACATCTTAGCGTGTAAGTAATAAGTTGGTTTATGATTTTAAAAAATAGTAGAATGGGAATCGTGATCTCAGGTTGAAATTCGGAACAAGGTGGTTTCCCAAATTTACGTTCCGAAATGACAAACAATACAATTAATGCTTTTCCAAGACTTCAGCCAAATCATTTAAATGGTCTTCTTGACGTCAAATTCCTCAACTAACACGAATTGGAAACCATGTAAATTACAATGGGAAGCAAAATATAAGAAATGTAGTTAAAAATGAATGAATAAAATCGAAGAAGTGCGAATCGAGACTAAATCCAAAATTTACATAAAAACACGAATGCAACATTTCCACGGGAAGCAATAGCCCGTAAGATAGCCTATACTAACCAGTAACTAATCGTAGTAATCACGAGTACTTCGATTAGAGATTTTCAGATTCCTTGGCATGGTCCAATCAAATACCTAGTGATGTCATGGATTGACTGTCTTTCACTTGGCTGGTGATAGTCTTCATCTACTCTTCCTTTATTCTACTCAGCATTACATGTCGAGGTAGCGGGGATTCGACAAATAAATGTTAGTACAATAGGGTATCAAAATAATGTTCCATACAAATGAGGTTGTAATATTGTGAGATAACGGTGTAGAAGGCTATTACTTTGCAACTGCAATTTTAATAAAGTGAAAGAAATTATTTTTATCCTCTTCTCGATTGCTTGCTAATCTGAGTGAGAAGTGTAGTTTGTATAGTCAGTCAGACAGATGCAAAGTGGAACCTGGTACGTACGTACATTACTTCAGATTGCCATACCGCACTAGCACAGACGGATCCAATTGTCAATTTGAATCACATAGTGGTAGAGGTTGTAGCAGTATTAGCGATAATCACAAAGATTATGGATCAAAGATAGGATTAGAGAATTGAATCTCAATGAAATATATTTAAAAAAAGAAAATAGAGGTCATGAGGAATTCAGAATATTAGAATTTGAGGGAAGACAAGAATGGACACATCTGAGCCATTACAAACGACTTTGAGCCATATCATTCAAAGTCTCTAACGAATATAGTTTGAATAGAAGCTTTCTTAATTGATGATCAAAATATACTGACTTACATTCCAGTGAATTCAGTCGTATGTCGACTCAATAAGTATCGCTGAACACAGAACCATAGTGAAATAATCAATACGAAGAAAAATGCACTGCGAAGCAAATAACTAATTATAACCGAAGATACACTGAAAATCAATAAGCAAAAAGACTACGAATAATTTTGCGCAGTGGAAATACATTGGAGTTGGCCGAACAAAAATCAGTTAAAACTGATACGAGACGTAAAGGCTGGTTGTTCTTTATACGTTGTATTTGGGGATACAACACTCTAAACAAAGGGAAAACGGGATAGTCAATCAGTCAGTTACAACGTAGAACTTCGAACAGATTGCCATACCGCATCAGGTCAGAGACGCAACTGTCAGTTCAAATCCCAAAGTGGTAGCGATGGTAGAAGTATTATCATCAATGGAGATTGGGGTTCGAGGATATGATTCGAGAAGTTTAGTTCAGTGAAATAAATTTAGAACGAGATGATGAGGAGGAATTCAAAAGGTTAGAATTTGAGAGAAAACAAAGATTGGATGCACCTGCACTATTGCGAACGATTTTGAACCACGTTACTCAAGGTCTCCAAACATCGGTTACTATCGTCTCGCGGACCCCAACCAGGCAGTCTGCATCTACCAACATGGCTCAGTCCAGTTGTCAGTGACTTCATGAATTTCTGCCATGTTTTGGTTTGATCACCCTTAGCTTTCTCCGAAACTATTCCTTACCACACAACATGGCTCTTCTAGTCAGTCGGTGGTAGGGCATGTCCTAACCACCTCAACTGATGAAGTTTCAATACTTCACCCATTGATCTGCCATCCTTACCTAGTACTCGTTTCCCATCGACAGCATTGCTTTCTTGGTGGTCACAGGATATAAGAGCAATGCTTCGAAGACACCGATGATCGAATACCAGTAACCTACGGATATCCTCGCTTCTTACTGGCCATGTTTCGTAGCCATAAATTAGGACACAGCGAACTGCTGCACAGTAGACTCGTCCTTTGATAAGCAAACGGATATCTCACTTACGCCATAAGTGACGCAAGCTGACAAGAGCCAATCTAGCCTTCCATATGCGTGCCGAGATTTCGTCAGTCACCAGACCATCGGCACTGGTCAGATTCCCAAGATAAGATAAGCGGTCGAAACGCTTAACTGATTCACTCCCTATCACTAGTTCAGGTGCCTACGCAAGCTAATCCTGAAGCCATACTTTGCATTTCGAGGGGGAAAACCGCATCCCGAACATGCTTGCATTGTTGCCCACGGTAGTCAGAAGACTCTACACTCTGTCAGCGTCTTCACCATGAAAGGGATGGTAGAGTAAATAAATGAAAATAAGCATTTAATAAGAGATACAATCTAATTGAAAAAACAATGGAAATTTTACTCGAGTTAAGGGTCTTCATCTCACTTTTAAGGATGATATAAGTCAGGATAGCCGGTAACTTTCATTCTTAGCCATATCTGATAACACCATAAACCACAGTGTTACAAGAAATTTAGAATCTCGATCAAGGTGTTTTGATAGAACGGCAGATGTCAGTTCTATACAACTTAGTAACGGAAGACGATGTTGCTACCAAATGTGACTAATCGTTTGGAGCCATCATGACAGATAACGCAATAAGCCGGATGAGTATTAGCACAAGTTCGGCTCTAGTGAAAAGTAGATTTTGTACTTATAGATACTGATTTTCAACCGACCAAATGCAATTTAGTTGGCATACGCAAAAGCTCATAGTAAGACAATATCATCAACATCAGAGTCCTTCCGCATCACTACGTACTTCTTTAAAGATACTACCAGGATGTCTTCAACGAGCAAGTTAGAGGGGAATGGTAAAACTTGGAAAAGTTTCTTAATTCCATTGAAGAGAGGTCGCTGTATGTCTTTACTGTGTCTGAGATGTTTGTGGTTAAAGCCCTAGTCACACTCCTATACAAGGGAAGATATCTAAGAGCAGTCAAAGGAGATCCTGATGTTGAGAAATACAACTTTTGTTAGTTTTCAATAAGTGTGGTGGCACCTTGAAATTTAGTGAAGGGTTAAGTGATGGTTAATACAGCCACTACTTCAGAACAAAAACCGGGCCTGGTCATTGCGAGTCAGTCTTGAATGGGTTTTGTACAATCTGCCGACGAAAGCTAAATCAGATTTCATATCCGATGAGGTAATTGATAAAACTGATCATTGAGACTTGAAGCAGTTTACAAATGACATAACTTTCAACAGTGACTAGCTGTCAACTTAGTTCAGGAGTAATAAGAAACACAGAATGGAAAGTTGAATGTAAAATAAATTCTTACATAATAAAATAGTTGCAAATACAGTGATTATTTTTTATTATAGAGTCATGGTGATTGTTTATTATTGAAATCGCAAATAAATAATTGTCAGATCACCATTATTACTGGGATAGAGCGAGTGGAATAGCCTAACAAACATCCGTCATAATTGTATGTGCACAGAGATATTCGCTGAACGTTCAGATTGATGAGAGGGGTTTTCTTAAGGGATCACCTCAAAGCATCACACCTTAAGGTAAAGTTATAGAGTAACATCAAAAGAAGAGGGTGCACGGTATACTGTGATCGAAATAAGCCTGTACGCTACTCTACTTAGGATCCTAGAGTTTATGAGTACTGCTGATTTGGAATTATTGTTTCCCAACTGCACTAAGCGGATCTTTTTTCAACTAACCTAGTTTAAGCAACATGTATTTTTGAACCCATAGAATTCATTAGTTCTACAAGTTCCTTTCAGGCTTCACGACTGAAACTGATAATCACTTAGAGGTGGCAATAATCAGTAGGATTACAATGCGAACATTCATTTAAAATTGCCACTCTATGAAAAAAAATATAATACAAGGTAAATTACCTCCTTCTTACGTAGTCGACTTAAACACGCTGCTTGTCTATTTTTCATCATTCGTTCTTGCTTTTTACGTATACGCTCCAAATTAGTGTGGGTGATGATGGATTCACTAGGTCCTGATAATTCTTGCATATCAAGGAACGATGTTGGTGAAAATTGAGCGTTGCCCGTGAAAACAGAGTCAGGATATGACGTACTTGAGATATTTTTCTACATAAAAATACATGATAAGGAACATTGATGAATACGAGTATATAACCGGAGTAAAAAAATAGTAATGGATATCTCAATCAATCAATAGCATCGTAGAACTTCGTACGTACGTACGTACGTACATCAGTTCATGTTGCCATACCACATTACCACAGAGACGAAATTGTCAATTCAAATCCAATAGTAGGAGAGGTAGTAAAGGTATTAGCAGTAGTCACAGAGGTTAGGATTAAAAGATTTTATTCAAGAAGTAGAATCTAGTGAAATAGAATTAGAAAGATAAAGATAAAGTGATGGAGAATTAAAAAGTTTAGGATTACTTACTTACTCGTTTGTCCCTGGATATACGAAGACACGCTACGAAGACACCTATGATCGAAAACCAGTAACCTACGAATATCTGACTGGCCATGACTCACAGCCATAAAGTAGGACGGAGCGAACTACTGCGCAGTACACTCGTCCTTTATTCAGCAAACGGATATCTCGCCTGATATAATGACTAGAACATATGTTCCTCAGGGTTCTACCATGCCAGGCAGGTCGATTGGAGAACGATGAGACTAAAAGCAGCTACTCAAGATCTGAGGGCGAAATCGTACTGCTGACTGCAGAGGGGTGTGACAGCAGTAAGGTGTTTCCCTCGGACAACCAACATCTGCAGCGATGCTGCCTTCTCACAAGGAAGGAAGGGTTAGAAAAGGTCGACCCTAAAAATGTCACACCTCACCCTACCTCATGGATTTCCGTCTTCGGCGGTAAGGGTGCCCAACAAGCGCTTTTAAGAGCGGAGTTAACACTTAAAAAGCCTTTCATAAAAAAGCCGTGCGTGACCGGCCCCAAGCAGTTGTCCCTTGGACTCTGAGGTCACGCTCTCAGGTCTATAAAACCGACACTAATCCGTCTTCTTTTCCAGGTCCCTCAAGAAACAACCTTCCATGGTGTAGGCAGCCGGGAAGTGATAACCGCCCTCATACCCGTAACAGCAGGCGAGACCTGATTTTTCAAAATCAAATCCTTCCTACACCCCCCAAATATCTCTCCTATCTCCTATCTCGCTGAACCGCTAATGCAAACGATTCGCGTTCACGATGGATACCTTGCAAAATATACACCAGCTTTGGTTTATATATTTACTGTAATCATCAATCAGAAGCAGTAACAGGACCACTTTATTATCAGAGTTATAAAATATAACATTAAAAGACAAAGTAGTTACTTATTTAATAACAAGCTTTCAGTAAATACCTGACTGTGTTCATAAACCCTACTTACAGAAGAATTGACTGGATCAGCGTCAACAAGTTTCTGAGTAGTCTGTTTGTATTGAAAGTTTATGTACCACTTAAAAATTAAAATGACAACTTTCTACTACAAGTGGCAGTTACATCTAACCACATATTAGAAAATGAAGTAGATATGTGGCCAACGATAGCTAGAAATTAAATGTAAGCTTCTTTCACTAAATCGAATGAACGAAATATGTATTTAAGTGGAATTAGCCCTGACAGAGAGAAAATTTCTAGTCGCCTGAAAAATAAATGCTTTATTAAAAGCACATATTCGGGAACGAACATCTATGATGTCTGATAAAAACACTATTTATCACAAGGTATATTGGTGTTAATTATGGTGGTCACAAAACAAATTAAAGTCTGCTTATCACTACTTTCTTTTACAACTACGAATTCCATACCAGAACAATCCAGAATTCTAGTCAAAATAGTCTGAAAACGTTCATAAACCTACAAACATCAAACTCTGGACGCATGACCAATCAAAAAAATTAAATCAGTGGTTAGATAACTTGCTGATATTTATAGTTATTACTTTAAAATGAGGGAACTTCAAAAGGTTTCGAGACCAATGAGACTTATTCATCTAAAAACTATCAGTTAACTTGGAATTGCTGCTTACCAACCAACAGAGCATCTGTTACTGAAACTTCGTAAGTATTCACCTGTGCCAAAAAATTCAGCAACACAGGCTTTTTACATTTGTTTATTCCCTATTAGCTCTAGGTTCGAAAAATATCGGTGGCGGTTTGGTTTTTATAGTTTGAGAATATATGATAGCGAGTATGCAGAAAGATACAATAGCAATAAGTCGTAATTTGTTAATGTGAAGCTATATAGATCAGGAACATCTGGAAGAATTGCTACACTGAACATTATTGTGTTCAATTTATATCGAGTAAATTAAGTGGAAAATCGTGTGGCTATATTTGATAACTGCACTTTTTTACAACACAAAAATATTAAATGAGTTAGTAAACAAGAAATCTTTGGAATATACCTTTCCTTAACTCCAGTCTCAAACTCTCCAGTTACTAACACATACTTTAACGCAGTAGAGCATGTACAAGGAATCGCTTAAAAGTTTCCCTAAACCTTTTTGGATGCTAAATATTTAAAGATTTCGAATTTATTAAAAATAATAGACCTCAAAATGGACAAATTACCAAATGCTGTCGCAGTGAAGGGTCTGAGGGAACTGAATTTCCACAGTGTTCATAAACTTCAGTTACTCCGTTTGTTCCAGATAACAATTCATCCAATGCTTATAAAAAAAAAGGAAATAATACACGTCAAGTTTTTTGAATAAAGTAGCTAGTTGATTGGTAAGCAACCCTGTATACATGTCTAAACGGCTATTCAAACGTGTATTATCTGATCTTTGACAAAGATGTTTTTTAAGATGATCACAGGGTATTTGACACCACTTTTAAATGAACTTAAAATGAAACAAAACTTCATGAAGTTACGCCGAAAGCGTTAGCGGAGATCAGAAATTTTCAGTTTGGATCACGGACTGATTTTAGATAAATTATAAGAGCCTGGGAGCAATGGGCAGCCATTTTCTGCTAATATGGGACTCAAACGCAGCGTGTACCCACCACCTTGCATGCAAGAAATCGAAACTAGGACCTTCGGTCTCACACGAGAATACTTAGCCTCTGGACCACCGAGCCGGCTTCAAGGTACGACTACTGGAGTTCCAGTGAGAAGCCATGACTAGTAAATTTCAGTCGTGTTGTGTGTTACTCACCACATACAACGGATAAGGGTTGAGTAGTATCATGAACTGATTGACGCTAGGGGCGGCCAGACAAAAAAAAACATGGCAGAAATCCATGAAGTCACTGACAAGTGGACTGAGTCATGTTGGTAGATGTAGACTACCTGGTTGGGGTCCGCGAGACGAAAGTCACCAATGGTTAGAGACCTTGAACGACATGGCTCAAAATCGTTTGCAATGGCGCAAGTGCATCCATTCTTTGAGCTCTCTCGAATCCTAATCTTCTGGATTCGTCAGCACCCCTACCTTTGTCTTTCCAACCTTATCTCACTGAATTATACTTCTTGAATAATATCTTCGAACCCTAGTCTTCTTCATTACCATTATTACCCGTACTATCTCTATCACTATGGGATTTGATTTGACATTTGCGTCTCTGTGCTAATGTGGTATGGTAACCTGAACTGATGTACATACGTACGAAGTTCTACGTTGCAACTGACTGACTGAATAATCTCAGTTGATTTTAGAATAGTACGGAAAATGAAGCAGAGAACAATTCCTAGCAAAGAAAATATTCAAAAAATGCTTTCCCGGAACAGTGAACAGGGTCGATGTCCTACGAGTAGCCCTTTTCATTGGTCTATTTCTGTTTGAGGACCCAATATAGCAACATAAACAAATCAAACAAAAGCACAGTAGTTTGTAAAGTCCATTTCGGTATCTTTCTACGCTTGCACTATTTTACGTGGATATTAGTAGATGGTAGTTTGTTTTATTTAGTGTCTCAACCCCTTTATTAGCAGAACGTTTGCAGTTAGATCGAGTAATCACCTAGACTTTGTACTGTACGACAAATCTTCAAATTACTTGGTAGTTTTACTCTATGTTAGCAGTGGATTGGAGATAAACTTGACCAAATATTAGTACCTAAATTGTCTCACATATAGAGCAGCCATGCTTTACAGACTTCGAGAAATACTAACGGAACTTTTTAGCTATATATACACTCATTAATAATCAGCAATTTACTTGAACGTAACAATGTAACAAAGTGTATATTCATATATGGGACTGTCGTACAACTTTTGTTAGTAATCTTAGAGGAGATCAAAATAAGTGTTAATTTCAGAAGTCGGACGTAACAGCTAATAAATACATGCTCCAGAGATTAAAGATAAAAAACCTGCTAGTAGTAACAACTAGAAAATGTTTCCTTGATACTCCTATAGTCCTAACTCATTACAGCCAGATATCTAACTGGAATTTAAAGACAAATCCAAGAAAAAGGGACGTACTAGCAAACCCATTTCATCTGGTTTTTTTAATACATAGGTACTAATTAAAATTCGATGGAATGTAAACTTCGTGCCATAAGGTAGCGTTTGACTCAGCTGAACAATAAGTCTTGTGGTAGCTTTAATCTGTGATTGGTCTTAATCGTCATAAATTCTAGAAGAACCAATTGTTTTGTGACGCGAAATATGTAGGTAACTATATCCTCAGCCTCACAATGATCAAACGACTAGTCGGGACTTGGGAGTGAATTTAGGCCTAACTTGAAATGAACCAACCAAATTTCTTACGACTTATTAAGATATGAAATAGCTTCTAATTTTCAGACGTTTGATTAAGACCAATCTTACGCAGTGAATATATACGTGACTAGTGAAAAAGCCAACGAAGTGATGTCCCTTAGAGAAACTTGATATGTTTCAACTATTGGACTTTCCAAAAACAAAATTTTACAGGATATTTTAATTCAGACCATGCATTTCATGACAAGTGAAATGTTGAATGGTAAGTTGATTTCGCTACACACCGCCTTTCACAACTTTGGAGACATGAATCGCCACCGCAGAAACCAAAACATCTGTAAGTTACAAGTAACCAGTTATGTTTCAAAATCCTCCAAGTAAAACGATATTGTAAAGTATTTAGATAAGTAAGTGAAATATAAGTCTTTTTTTACACGACTTACAACAATAATCCACGTTCCGTTTGAAAGGTGAATTTAGAGAAACTCCTGGGGACAAGTTTGGAGAATCGAACGGCGAATGGATACCAGAAGGCACAACTTTTACGGGGACACCGGAATGATTTAATGACTGCTGTACAGCTGGCACACGTAGGCTGCAACCAACGATTGGATTTACGTTCTGAAAATAGAAAGCTAAAATGTGTGATGTTACCGAAGAGTGATTGTATAATATACTTTTTTCGCCAACGGGATTTATGATGACCCGTTTAAATTTAGCAGAAGCAGAGTTAGAGATGGGGATTTTAACAGATACGCTCTCTGACAATCCATTCACTTGGTCCAAACTATATTTGTTACTTGTATGCAAGTTGCTGGACACGTTATTCCTTGCAACCCCAACAACATTAGTCAAAGTACAACCAGACACGGTGTCACTGAGCGGTACATTAATTTCCTGTTTCGACTGTTTTTCCCCTGTGACTGTTTACAGACATGATCACCATTAAAAGAGACTAACCGCTTATTCCACTATCGCTGTCTGAGTTCTCGAGTAGCTCTGAAGCTTTTGATGCAAAGTCCAATTCATCTATATCCATGTCATTAAACTAAACGAAAGATTATACAAAACGATATAATTACCAAGTCTACTGACTGCAGGAACTTATCCATGGCATCTTCAAGGCCCACTATTAGAGATAAGAAAGTAAGGTGTACACAACCTACACAAACTCTCACAAGCCATGTTTGGGTTCAACCTTTGCGCGTGAATGGCAACCTACAAGAAACGTTCATCTTCGGTGCATACAAAGAGTCATGTAAAAGATAACATAATGTTATATTTTTTACAGTCTTGACGTGCCATTCTAACACTACGGCTTCCGTGCTATAGTAGATTAGTCATAATATCACAAAATGAGTACTAGATTCTTACCAGCTTCATATTAGATGTTTTGATGGCCAAAACTACTTAGGCTATTTTGAAAATACTGGTCCACAATATTTCTACTTATACTTTGGAGGATTAGGCTACTGAAGATAGACAGGAAGAATCTATCAGATAAACAAAAGCAAAACAAATGACGTGGAGTTCCAAAAGCTTAGTCTAAGTGGTGGTGAATTGGCCGATAACCTCTTGGTAATGTCCAGATATTATAGCTCCAGTATTTATTTACTTCCTTATGTTGCGTATCTTAAAACATCGTTCAACAATAACGCCTATAATAATTATATATATGCGGTATTGATTTCAGGATCTCGATTTGTATAAGACTGATTTCTAATTTTTTTTAAACCCAGTATTCAGATGCATTTAATTTAATTGTTCACCTATACTTACCGATATGAATTACCGGTCCACAATCTAATCAGAACATTGAGTTCGGAGCATGTCTGCTACAGCTCCCCTAACGTCCAACCAATTGTTGTTTATCCATAGGATTGTAACGGAGTCAAAATCACCATGTATGATGTTGATAACCCGTTCTGTTTTCTTTCTATTTCAGGGCGATCAACACAACACAATGTTAACCTGAAGGCTGTTCTGCAGCGTCTTAGACAACATAACCTAAAAGTAAAACCACCCAAATGCCGTCTGTTGAAGAAGGAAGTAGTATTCTTAGGACGTCGTATCACCGAAGATGGCATGGGTACAGATAATGAAAAGACGAGTGCCATTTTTACTTGGCCGCAACCAAAAACACCTGAAGACGTTCTCAGTCTATTGGGTCTCGCGTCCTATTACAGACGTTTTCTCCGTGAGTTTGCATCTTTGGCAGCACCTTTGCACAGATTGACACATAAGGGACGAAAATTCCTATGGTACGTTGCAAGCACGGTTAACCTCACCACCCATATTAGCCTTTCCCGACACCTCAGCAGACGGAGGTGCGTTCATACTCGATACGGATGCTAGTTACTCAACTATCGGAGCAGTTCTATCACAAGTAATTGCGTACGCCAGCCGACGACTAGACAAAAGAGAGGCAAGTTATTCCACAACACGTCGAGAAATGCTAGCATTAGTAAAATTCTCACAGCACTTCCGTCATTTTCTACTTGCTAGACCTTTCCGTGTGCTCACGGAACCCCTGCGCTCAGACAACCTCTGCTGATAGTACCGCTATTAAAGGCCCAGAGTATTGTGGAGCAAGTTCATCGCGAACTAGGTCACACAGGAGAAAGAAGAACTGAATATGCTGTTCGCCAGTGCTTTTGGTGGCCGTCTATCTATGAAGATGTAACTGAATTCTGCAAAACCTGCAACACGTGTTGCCGCATAAAATCGCCCAATTAAACACCACATGCACTGTTAACGCTGGTGGGAACGACTGAACCGCACCAGCGAGTTCGTATCGATATTATGGGACCATTGACGACGACAAAAAGGAAATCGCTACATATTAGTTATGATAGGTTATTTCACCAAATGGTGCGAGGCAGTACCCATCCCGCAGCAAGACGCCCTCACTGTCACACGTGCCTTCATTGATGATTGGGTTTCCCGTTATGGTGCCTCACTCTCACTCCACTCCGACCAGGGCCCGGCCTTTGAAAGTCATCTCATTGCCAAAATATACAAATTATTAGGAATAAGGAAGACGCATAATACCGCATATCACCCAGAAGGTAACGGCCTAGTCGAAAGGACAAATAGAAACATTAAAGCTATTTTACAATCGTTCATCAGCAGGTCGTCATCCAAGTTGTGGTATGAGGTGCTTCCTCAATGCATGCTGGCTTATCGAACATCAGTACATGGGTCTACGGGATTCTCACGTGATATTTTACTATTCGGGCATGAACTACACCTCTCGGTAGAGATACGGTCGCCTTTGCTATCGTACGAAGAACAAGAACACGTACCGTACATCCGTACTCTCCGTAAGACATGTACGATCGTCAAGTGCAAGGACCAGTGTATAAAGTTGAAGATCGTGTCTGGTTACGCCGCCCCATAACATCAATAGGGGTTTGCAGTAAGTTCCACCAGCCTTGACATGACCCCTTCGAAATCGTCCTCATCCGATAACCCAAGACGGTTGCGTTACGTAACCCGCAACGATGTAATATCGGTGTACTACAACCAAATAAAGCCAGATCGGACAACAGTACCTGCTGATGCTCGGTTCACAGACCCACCACCTGCCACTAGTTTTTATGAGATACCGGCTGAAGGAGGAGCAGCATATCCTTTTCCGAGACCAGGCACTGAGTTTAGTGCCTCATTATGAGAGGGGATGGTGTAACGGAGTCAAAATCAACATGTATGATGTCGCTAACCCGTTCTGCTTTCTTTCTATTACAGGGCGATCAAACATAAACGCTTCGGAAGCTGAAGAACAAGCCCTAAGTGCTCTGAACTTACAGGATGACTCATAAGACTTCGGTAAACTAGCCACGCTTTTCTGTACAAACCCTGCGTATTTTAATTTTCAAATAAAAGAGTGCCGTAGCTACCACTTCGTGTTCTCTCTTGGTGTGAGGTGTTAAACTAACCTTGTGTGATGTGATTTTAGATCTTATCCGCACTTCAGCGACTGCTGGTTACACGTGTTACAGGATATTGATGAAAATTCTACCGTTGTCACATGACGAGAGATTTTTTATACTTGTTGATATATTGTAGTATAGCAAAGTCTGATCATTTGTTGCGTTTTATCTATTAAATCAATATTAGTATGTGTAGAAATGTATCTGCTGTTTATGTAATAAAATTTCAACTAGCGATTGATGCTACTTATTTGTAATATTCAATATAGTTTGCTAAGACGCTTTAGTTTGCTAACATTTTTACTAAAAATATAACATATTTATTCATTTTCAGCTAACCATTGATTTGATATTTTCTTTACTAGCGTTCAGAACACATTTCAAATTTCATAAAATTCAACTAAATACATGAATAATGTTCATTCACCTCTATCAGTCATACATCAAGATTAACACCCTCATGTGCTGAAGAATGACAAAGTATTTATAGTCGAGCAATAATAGGCTAAACATGTAATAAGCGGGTAGGCATGCACATACAAAATTATGGTCAGTACTATTACCGAAAAATTTGAAAAGATTAATCATTGAAGGATTATGAATGAATGGTGAGATGCCACACTGTCACCTCCCTCCTGTGTTCATTGCGTTAAATTTTAAGAAATGATCTTTCTTACTACACATTTGGCCCCAAGATGTCCATATCATGTATACTTCCTACCAGATTATTAGTACATCCTGTGAGACAAAGCATTTATGTAGAACATAACACTCATTACATACGATTTTTTACTTCCTTCTTCCTAATTATTTGATCGGAACAGTGAGTAACTCTTTGAATTTGACTAATATAGATATCAAGTTTCCAGAAAAGGATTCTTCCTTACATTTGTCCTTAGGATGGTTCAAGAGTTTGGTCAATAGACACACGATAGCCATATAGAGCTTAGGAAACTTGTATCCTTCAAACGGGATCTCTAGTTGCCCACTCATGGCACTTCTTCATCTATCATTCTGTCGTCTCTTGAACTCCGCCTGAGTCTTTTCTGATGTTACTGCTGGTCCCAAGCCCGGATACAAGAGGGTTGGGCGTAGAAAACCAAATCGCTACAGAAGGATTCTAGGATAAGGAAAATGTAACAACTTTAGTAGAGTTGTTAAACATTTTCCGAAAACCTCTTAGTAATGTCAAAACGTTTTAACTTAAGTGCTTTTGTTATAACAGTTTGAATCTTCCTACTGATAGTCAGGGCTGCATCTCATCAATCTCATCTGAAATACATCTTGTGGGCATATTTCTATCCAGTTATTAGGTCCTGTGGAACGTTACATGTCGATCCAGAATAAACGTATGAAAACCTCACGGGGGAAGACGGAGTTAGTATGACCTGTAACTAACTATATCCATACAAACGTTACAGGCAAACAACGCATTTTGATTTTTGGGAGTGGGGGATAATGACGACTTACAAATTAAAAACCACGGCTAACTAAAACGCAATACATGCTAAAGACTTTCCAGAATTGACCAGGTGGCTTGTAAAACCTTTTCGCTTAGTTATGTACACACTTAATGAAGTTCTATTTGCAACTTTATGTTCAAAAGGTATTTCAATAATGTTTTAGAAAGGTAAGCATCTAAAATTCTAAAGGTAACTGCACTCCACAGAATGAGATTTTCGATCCCTATTTTTATTCCGGCTACCGACGAAGGGGGGACTGGTTGTTGTTGTAAAGAATATGAAGGAACGATTTCGTTGCATATATTTTTGCTTTTTTACTGTATTTTTTTAAAGGCAAATTCTGAGTCTTTGCGGAGGAATCGACCAGGTTTTCTGAGTTTATGTGAGAAGAAGAACAGTTCAAAGTCACAAAAGTAACAATATAAAAGCATTCACATCTGTCTTTGATGTTAAGCCTTTTAAAGATGTCCTCTTATTTGAAGTTTAGTACTGGAATACACAAACGATTCCTAATATTGCTCCATGAGAGAATCGACTAATCATGCGAGCTAGATACAAGAGCCTTTGTTCTCACTTCTTAGACCATTAACGATACAGACACTAACTTACTTCAGCTGAAATGTGGTTTAAATACTATTATTGAAGAGGGTTTCTCCATATTATCCCTTAAAATTAACCACATACACTCTAAAGTGCCGAGGTATTTGTAAGCAGGTGTTCACGCAAGCCAATCTTGAAGCAACGTTTTGCAATTCAAGGGGGAAAACCGCATCCAGAAGATGCTTGAAATGTTGCTT